GCGTCGTCGCGCGGCGCGGCCCGCGGTCGCTCGCGATCACCGCGGCCAAGTCCATGGTCGAGACCGTCGCGGACCTGCGGCGGCCCGCGGACGACGACGACGACGTCAGCGACGGCGCGCCGGACGCGGTCGTTCTGTTCAATCCGGGCTACGGCCACCACTCGCTCAAGGCCGGGTGGACCGCGGCGCTCGACGCCGTCGCGGCGTCGCGGGCGCCGGCGCTCTTCACGGCGCACAGCGCCGCGGACCTCGACCGGGATCTGGCGGCCCTCGACGCGCGCGGCCGCGGCCACGCGTTCCTCGCGGCGCCGGCGTTGAACCCGTTCCGCTCGCGGAAGGTGCTGGCGGACCCGGAGGACCGCAGCCACCTGACCTGCGCCAACTACGCCGCCTACGTGCTAAGGTCCTAGTTTTTACTCCTCCGTCGGGTCACGGAACGGCGACCGCGAGCGCCAGGCCGCGCGCCGCTCCTCGACGGAGACGACCTCGAGGGTCCGCGCCCAGCGGCGCTCCTCGAAGGATTCCGTCGTCGCGTAAAGGGCGGCCTTCTCCGCCGGCGAACGCGGCGACGCCGGCTCCGCGGCCGGGGGCGGCCTCGCGACGGACGGCGGCCTCGCGAGCGGCGGCGGCGGCGGCGGCGGCGGCTTCGCGACGGGCGCCGGCCTCGGAGAATCTGGCGCTTTCGCGACGGGCGGCGCTTTCGCGACGGGCGGCGGCCTCAGGGACTCTGGGGATTTCGCGACGGGCGCCGGCCTCGCGACGGGCGCCGGCCTCGGGGACTCTGGCGATTTCGCGACGGGCGCCGGCGGCGGCGACGGTTTCGCGACGGGCGGCGGTTTCGCGGGCTCCGGCGGCCTCGCGACCGCCGTCGCCGCGCGCGGCGCCGCGACGACCGGCTCCGGCGCGACGACCGGGGCGGCGGGCTCCCCCGGCTCCGGCGACGGCGCCCGGTTCGGCGGCGGCGAGGACGGGTCGAAGTCGTCCACGTCCTCGCCGTAGGCCACGGACTCGTCGCCGAGCGACGAGGGATCGTCGTCGCTCTCGTCGCGGTCGTCGCCCATGATGAACGTGAGGCGGCACGGCCGCGGCGACTCCGCCAGGGTCCGCCGCAGGTCCACGAGCTTCGCCGGCGTCGCGTAGCACAGGAGGTCGCCGTCGACGCGGATCAACTCGTCGCCGCGCCGCACGACCTCGACCTTCGACCGCGTGACCGCGAAGTACGTGTAGGCGTCGCCGTCCTCGTAGGTGCCGAGGCCCACGTCGAAGCCCACGGCCTCGCCGTCGAGCAGCCACTCGTAGGCGAGGCCCACGCGGTCCATGGCGCGGATGTGGTCCTTCAGCACCTTAACGCGCGCGGCGTGCGCGGCGCGCTCGTCGGCCGTCTGGAGCGACTTCTCGAGGAAGCTCGACTCCTTCTTCGCCTCCGGGCTCTTGAAGGACTGCACCTTCTTGAGGGACGACGCGAAGGACGCGGACTTGCTCCCGCCGAAGAAGGCCGAGGCCATTTGCGACGACTTTTTTCGGCGGCGGCGATGCATGGTGTTCGACGTCCGAGGTTTCGCCAGATCTCCGCGGACGACGGCCTGCTCACGGGGCGCCGGCGGCGCGGACGAAAACCGGCCTCTGCTTGGCGGGCGGCGCCGCCGAGAGGCCGCGTGGACGTGCTCGATTTCTCACCGCAAGGGCGTCGCCAATCCACGGCGGCCATTGATTCACACGCCTATTCACGCACCAGCTCCGAAGGCTCTCCGACGCGCCTTCCTCGGAATGAACACCGAGACGACAACGAAAAAAAACAAGTCGCGGGATGATGTTTACTTAGTAAAAAGAACAGTGATCTGGGGGTTGGCGGGTGGGGGGCGGCGGACGCGGCGCGCGGGGGGAGCGCGAAGTGGAGCGCGGGGGCGCGTCCGCGGCGCGGGGGCGCGTCCGCGGCGCGGCGGCGCGCCCGCGCGGTGCGGACGCGGCGGCGTTGGGATTCAGGGGATGTCGGGCGCCGACGGGGGCGCGGGGGCGGGGCGGTCGGTGCGGCGCGAGGGGCGGGGGCCGAGTCCGGGGACTCGCCGGCGGCCTCACTCGTCCGCGGGCGGCACGAACGGCGGCGCCTTGGACGAGAGCTTCGGCGAGCTCACGTCCTTGGGCTCGCCCGGCGACGCCTCGGCGTCGACGGGCGCCTCGGCGGCGCCGTCCGCGGGCGCCGCGGCGGCGTCGGCGCCGCCGCCGTTCTCGCCGGCGCCGTTCTCGCCGGCGGCGGCGCCGGCCTCGTCGCCGGTCGCGGCGGCGTCGGCGGCGGCGGCGGCGGCGGCGGCGGACTCGGCGGTGACGGCGGGCGCGCCGTAGGCGACGCCGTTGGCCTGCGGGTAGTAGGCCTGGGGCTGGTAGTAGGCGCCGTACTGCTGCTGGTAGGCCGCGAGCTGCTGCTGGTACTCGTAGACGGCGGTCGGGTCGCCGTAGGCCTGCTGGTAGGCGGCGTAGTACTGGGCCATCTGCTGGTTGTACTGGGCGACGGCGTCGGCCGCGTGGCGGCCGCTGGGCTGGCGGCCGCCGCGGCCGCCGCGCGGCGTGCCCCCGGGCGACGAGCCGCCCTTGCCGCCCGCGCCGCCGCGGCCGACGCCGCCGCGGCCCCGCCGGCTGCGGCCCCGCGCGCCGCCGGGCGCGTTCGGGTCGTAGGGCTCGCCGGCCTCGCGCCGCCGCCGCGGCGCGCCGCCGTCGCCGCCGTCGCCGCCGCGGTGCTCGCCGGCCTCGAGGAGCACCGCGTCGACGCACTTGAGCCGGTCGCGGTACTCGGCGACCTGGTAGGTGACGCGGTCGCCCATGTCGACCCACTCCTCGCCGGCCCGCATGTCCGTCGCGTGGAGGAAGACGTCGTCGCCGTCGCCGCCGGGGAGCGCGTCCGCGGGGCGCACGAACGCGTACTTGGGCTTGATGGTCACGATGGTGCCCACGTAGCGCCGGCCCTGCTCGGGCACGGCCGCGGCCGCGGACCCGAAGTTCGCCACGGCCTGGAGGGGCGCCTCCCCGCGCGCGTTCTTGTCGTACAAACCCGCGGCCGCCTCGCCGGGCGTCGGGTCGCGCCGGAGCTCGGGGAGCGCCTTGTCGACGGCGCCCATGTCGAGGGTCGCGGCCGCGGCCTCGGGGACGGCCATCTTTTCCGTGTGGGGGTGATAAAAAAGGCCGCGGCGCGGCGAGCGGTGGCGAGTCGGGTCGACGGTCGCGCTCGGCGACGACGGCTCGCTGCGAGGAAAAATAGACCCGTCGAAGGAGGGGTCGTACGCGGCGACGACGGCTCTCGCGCGGGAGCGGTGTGAGGGTGTAAGGGGTGAGTCGGCGACGGCTCCGACTCGGGTCGGCAGTCGATATTGCGCAACAGATCGGCGAGGACCCCGGGCCGCCAGAGCACGCTCCGACGCGCGACGCGGGCCCCAGACCCCAGGCCAGCCTCCAGAGACTACCCCGGCCAGAGAATCCCCCAACTCCCACCTTCTTACGTCGGCGCCTTCTGCTTCTTCCGCCGCCTGTTGCGCTTCGACGGCACGTCGAGGGGCTTCATGTTCCTCTTGTGCCGCGCGTCGCGGTCGAGGGACACGGTCGCGGACCACGTCGACCGCGCGGAGGGCGAGAACGCGTGGGCAGTGGCGCAGATCTCCTGCTCGACGAGGGATACGTCGAAGGGCAGGAGGGGCTCGTCGGGCGCGACCGCGGCGGCCATGGCCTCGACCGTGGACGCGGTCTTCGCGTCGAGGCCGCGGCCGCGGATCGCGTCGAGTAGGATCGCGGGCTCGCCGGCGACGTCCGGCGCGCCCTGGCCCGCGTGGGCGAGGTAGACGCGCGTCGCGCCGGCGCTCGCGGCCGCGGCGAGCACGGCCTCGAGGACCTCGGCCGTCGTCACAGTGCCGCCGGGCGTCGGGCAGACGACGTAGCGCGCGCCGGCCTCGCAGCCGAGCTCCGTCGACTCGCGGCGCACCTACGCGAGGGGTCTCTTCGTAAACACATAAAAGCAGAGCGAAAACGCACGTGGACCGCCAGGAGCGGCTCGACGTCGTCCTCGGCGTCGCCGAAGAGCGCCCGCCGCGCGCGATCCGCGTAGCGCCGCACGCGGTCGCTGCGCACGCGGAGCGCCGCCGCGCGTAGGAGCAGTTGCCGCTCGCCGTCGATGACGAAGAGGGGCGCGACGCAGACGAACGTCGCGTCGCGGAGGCCCCCGCCCTCGAACTGGCGGCGGACGTCGTCCGCGCGGCTGTGGGCCTTGACGACGGACTTCTTCCCCGGCTTCCCGTCGAGCCCGAGCTGCGCGAGGGCCCGCGCGAGGCGGTCCTTGGGCAGCGGGCTCGCGAGCACGCTCCACGGCCGCTTCCGCTCCCAGAGCTCGCGCGTCGCGGCGTCGACGATCGCCGCGCGGCCGCTGGCGAGCAGCGGCGCGCGGTCGAAGACGGCCTCGAAGGGCACCATGTCCGACGACGAGTCGTCGCGGTACCAGCGCGAGAAGTGCGACGGCAGCAGCAGCGTGCGGCCCGTGACCTCCGCCAGCGCCGTCGCCTCCAGCAGGCCGTCGAACTGGTTGTTCGGCCCGTAGGTCAGCAGCGGCACGAGGTACTTTTCGCCGTCGCCGCGCGCGACGGTGGCGAGCAACGCCGCGACGGCGATGCTGCGCATGCTCTATGCGATTCGGAGAGGCATCACCATCGGCAGCCCTTGAAGGTTCAATGTGGTTATTGCAGCCCGCGTAAAAGCATGGGCTAGCCGTGCGATGCGCGGCCTCGCCGCCGCCGTCCTTGCCATCTACGCCAACGCGTCGCCGCTGTCCGACGCGCTCGACGACAATCGACCCATCCTCGACGTCCTCGCCGCCGCGACGCCGCCGCCGCGTGCGCCGTCCCCGTACGAGGCGCGCGTCTTCGCCGCGTGCCGCAAGCTCCACGGCCTCGTCGACGCGCATCCCATGGAGCGCGCGCTGCTCGCGCTCGCGCCGCGCGCGCCGGGCTGGGTGCACGTGCCGATCCCCTGGCACGAGCTCGCCGACCCGAACCACGCGGGCGCGCGGCAGCGCAAACTCGCGGACGCGACGAAGCAGCTCTGGCGCGCGCTCGACTTCGACGCCCACCGCCACTTCTCCGTCCTCGTCCAGATGCACGTCGAGCAGGTGCGCGCCTCCTTCGCGAAGCGCGCGGACGGCTGGGTGCCCGACTTCGCCCGGGTGCTCGTCTTCGACACGCGTCTTACGGCGCTCGGCTCGACGCTCGCGTTCCGCGGCGCGGAGCTGCCGGGCGCCGCCCTCGGCCGCGTGCCGGTGCCGCTCCTCGGGCACGCGCTGGACGACGACGGCGACGTCGCCCGGGCCGCCGGGTCGTCGCTCTTCTGGGCCGGGGGCTGCCACGCGCGCGTGCGCTGCTTCTTGGAAGGCCTGGGCCCCGGCGTGCGGCCCTGCGGCGACACCATCGACGCGGCGGCCTTCCGCGCGGGACTCCGCGACGCCGCCTGGGCGCTGGCGCCGCGGGGCACGATGCACGCGACGTTCATGCTCGCGGCGGCCGTCCGCCACGGCGCGCTTCCCGTCTACGTCGGCGACGACACGCCGGCCTGCGTCAGCCGCGCGACGTGCTGCGACCGCGTCTTTCGGTTGCGGCGGTCGCGCGATGCCGCGGCGTTCCTGCCCTACGGCGACCTGGGGCTCGCGTGGCGGGAGATGGGGCTCGTCGTCGACGCGGCGGACGCGGCGGAGATCCCGGCGATGGTCGCGAACGCGAGCGACCTCGCGGGGCGACGGCGGCGCTTGGACGTGGCGCAGGCGCTCTTCAGCCACCGAGGGGTCGCGGCCTACGTCGCCTGGAAGCTGGGGCGGGAGCGGTAATATGGTGTGTGATGGCCGCGGACGCAGGACGCCATCGGCGGTCGGCGTCGACGGCGACCTTGAACAACGGGGAACAAGCTCGAGCCGCATCACACGTAATGGCGACGATCTCGCACCCACCGAGGCCACGGCGCCTCGCGCTGCTCGCGCTGTCGTGCACGCTCACGACGTCGTCGGCGCGGTCCGGTGCGCGCCTGAGCCCGCCGCCGCGCTGGCTCGGCACCGCGGGCGGGAGACGACGCGCCACGGCCCGCGCCGCGGCGCTCGCGGTCGTGCGCGGCGGCAGCTACGAGAACGACTTCTACGAGGACGAGTGGAGCAGCGAGGCCTACGTGCAGGGCGACGCCTACGACTACGCGCGGCCGCCGCTCGACCGGCCCAAGGAGAATCCGCTCGACCTCTCCGGCCTCGGCGGTTTCGTGCCCGACCGGAAGACGGGGCTCATCATGTGCGCCGCCGGCGCGGCGTCGACGATGCTCGGCGTGTCGCTCTTCTTCGAGAAGAACCTCATCCGGTTGGGGAACGTGCTGCTCGTCGCGGGCGCGCCGATCGTCGTCGGCCCCCAGCGCGCGTCGCGCTACGTGCTCAACCCGGCCAAACTCCGCGGCAGCCTCTGCTTCGCCTGCGGCTTCATGCTCATCCTCAGCGGCCACCCGCTCCTGGGCATCGTCGTCGAGATCTTCGGCTTCCTGAACCTGTTCGGGAACCTGTTCCCGCTCTTCACGGCCATGTTCAAGAACCTGCCCTTCGTCCAGCAGTTCGCGTCGGGCGGCGGCGGCGGGCCGGCGTTGCCGCCCGACGCGTACGATGCGGGCGGCGGCGGCGACTACGGGTACTAGGGCGGGGGGCCTAAAAAATTCACCACGGGCCGGGCCCGTGCCACGGCGAGATAGATAAGCTGCTGTTAAAAGGCGGCGCCCTACGTCCGGCGCTCGTTCTGCGGGTTCACCGTCGGCGCGAAGGTCGGGCTCGGGTACTCCACGGTGAAGGTGTGGTTGTTCGAGCAGCCGGGCCAGTAGGAGAGCGAGTTGTAGACGTAGGTCAGGTCCGGCGAGTTCGGCGCCGTGAGCTCGTAGAACTCCTCGTTCGTGTAGAGGCCGACCTGCGTGTCCGTGAGGGACGCGTAGGGCAGGAGGTCGTCGGCCTTGTGGCCCGGGCACGTGTCCCGCCGGCACACGGGCATGGACGTGACGTCCGTCGCGTCGACCTGGCTCCAGTCGCAGACGACGTGCGTGTCCGAGCCCTCGTGCGTCTGGTGCTCGTAGCCCCAGGTCGCGTCGAGCGTGATGTTGCCCGTCTCGTTGAGGAGGCGCACGTACTGGAGGAACCGCTCCGCGTTGCCGTGGAGCGGCCAGAAGATGGGGTCCTGCGGCGCGGCGCTCGTGAACATCTCGCCGGGCAGCCCCACGGCGCAGAGCTTGTCCAGCAGGTCGTCGTAGGTCACGTTGTAGGGCGACGTCAGGGGCTGGTCCGTGAAGACGTCGTTGACGTTGTCGTCGGACCAGAGCTCGAGCACGCCCGCCTTGTTCAGTAATTCGTACGCGGAGCCGGCGCGTTCGACGATCGCGTCCGGGCAGTCGCAGCGGCAGTCGGACACGGGCGTGTCGTCGGAGCAGACGTCCGGGCATCGAACGAACCCCTGGCGCCAGAGAAACTTGGACAGGAGCAGGAACTGGTCCGGGTCGCCCTCGGACTCGGCGACGCGGCGCCACTCGTCGCCGTCGTCGCCCCAGAGGCCCCCGACCATGAGGTGCACGGGCCCGTGGAGCTCGCCGTTGAGGGCCATGACGATGTCGGCGTAGGACGCCTCGGGCACGACGTACTCCTGGAACTGGGTGCACGACGGCAGGGACGTGAAGGAGTCGTACTTGTCGCCCATGACGTACGACGACCGCATGACGAAGGGCACCTTGTTCACGTTCCAGGGGCTCCGCAGCAGCCCGTAGGGGTTCGTGATGTTCATGTAGCCCGCGTTGCGCGCGTTCATGACCGGCGTGAAGGCGAAGCGGCCCTGGTCGACGATGTGGTCGTCGTTGCTCAGGCTGTCGATGTTGCCGAACCAACCCTCGTCGAAGATCTTCGAGAGGTACCACTCCTCGCCGAGCTTGCGCTCGTCGAGCGTGTAGTCCCAGTAGTGCGCCGCCACCGTCGGGTCCACGGACCGGAGGGCGTTCTCGAACTGCCAGGTGATGCCGATGTGGTGGTTCGCGAAGCCCGCGTCGTCGTGCCAGTGGTCGCACGACCGGTCCGCGGCGCCGAAGAGGTGCTCGCGCACGAGCCAGTTGGCGCTGTAGAACTTGGGCCCGAACGTCGCCTGGCCCTCGGCGTCGCTCAGCGCGTAGAGCGTGAAGACCGCGCCGAAGTACGCGTCGCGCTCCGCGTCCGTGAGCTCCCGCAATTCGCGGCGGACGACGCGCGCGGTGACCTCGAAGCTCTTCGCGTCGCCGTTCTGGAAGCGCACGACGACGACGTGCGTGCCGATGTTCGCGAAGGCGACCTCGACCTCGCTCGACGTCACGTTCGACACCTGGGCGCCGTCGACCTCCCAGTGCGCGCGCTCCGTCGACGGGTAGAGGCTCAGGAGCGTCCGCTGCGACACGTCCACGAGGTAGTCGAAGTCGTACTGGCCGTCGCCGATGGGGCGGCCGAGCCGGCGCTCGTAGGGCGACGACACGAGCAGCTCCACGTCCGCCGTCCGGTCCGAGGACGACGTCGCACTGGCCACGCCGACGAGGGCCGCCGGCGACCGCCGGGCGGCGCTCCGGCCGACGGCGACGGCGCCGAGGGCGACGAGGGCCAGGGCGAGCGTAAACCGGGCCTTTGGCCTCGCGGGGCCGGACTCCGCGTCCACGGCGACGTAGCCCGCGCGGCTCATCGTGGCAGCCCCGACCGCCTGCGCCAGCCAAAATGAGTATAGATCTACCCGAGAAGCACTTCAACGTGTCCGGGCAGGTCGAACTTTACCGCATATCCCTACGACGCCGGAGACTATTATTATTATTATTATTATTAAGTTATTATTTAGCGTCGGAGAAGCCGCATGCACAACTACGTTGTTCCTACGCTCCTGGTACTCTCGGCGAGGCCCGAACTCGCCGACAGACCTCGTGCGCGAGCGAGCTCGCGCATCCTGGTGAACTCGTCGAAGACCGCCTCGCCGCTCGTGCCGCGGTGGGGCTCGAGGACGAGGTCGACGGCGTCGGCCCGGAGGAGCTGATAGTACGCGTGGATCGTGTGCTTGATCTGCAGGCAATACGCGAGGATGATCTGGACCTCGCCGAGGAAGCCGCCGCCGAGGTCGACGTTGCAGTGGAGGTCCGGCGGCTGCGCGATGACGACCTGCTTGTGCTTGTTCTTGACGGCGACGACGGGGAACGTCGCTTTGAGGCCCGCGAGGAAGAAGGCGGCCGTGTAGGGGCAGTGGGCCTCGACGACGCACCGGTTGAGGTCCTTGAGGCTCCCGAGCTTCTTCTCGAGCGCGCGGCCGAGCGACTTCGGCGGCCCGAACGCGAGGCGGATCACGTTCACGCCGAGGCGGCTGTCGTGGAGCCCCAGCGGCCAGGCCGCCGGGTCCAGGCCCAGGCGCTCCGCGATGGCCGCGGACGACGGCGCGTCGTTGAACGTCGACACGAGGAACGCCATCTTCGCGCGGAACGCGCCGTCGAGGCGCGCGGCGCGCGCGAGGAGGAGGCGGACGCGCCGCGCGTCGCCCTTGGCGTCCGCCTGCGCGCCGGGCCCCGGCGCGGGCAGCACCTGGAGCGGCGCGTTCGGCTCGACCGCGGGCACGGCGTCCAGGAACCGGTACCGCTCGCCGAGGAGCTTGTACGCGTCCATGACGCGCCCCAGCAGCGCGCTCAGGCGCGCGCTCTCCTCGCCGGCGAGGCGCTTGACCCGCCGGAACGCGTCCGCGGCCGCGCGGTCGCCGGCGTCGCCGCCCGCGAAGAGCGCGTCGAGCGCGCGCGCCTTGAGCGCGTCGACCTCGGCCGCGAGCGCGTCGTTGCGGACGGCGCCGAGGGCCGCGCGCGCCCGCTCGAAGGCCGCGAACGTCTCCGCGTCGCTGTCGCGCATCGCGTCGCCGAGGGACCGCGCGACGACGCGCTCGAGGAGCCCCGACGCGCCCCAGGTCACGCGGACGACGCGCACCTCGGACGCCGGGAAGACCTCCTCGAGCTCGCCGCCCCGCGCGTCGCGCGCCTGGAGCCACGGCCCCGTGTGGCGGACGACGGCGCGCAGCAGCCTCCGGTGCGCCACGAGACACACGGACTCGAAGGGCAGCGACCGGAGCCAGGCGACGGCCCCGCCCGCACGCGCCGCGAGGGCCGCCTCGTCCTCGACCAGCGCCTCCCGGAGCACGTAGCCGTCGGGCGACGCGTCGTCGGCCGCCGCGATGGTCGACGCGTCGACCGTGGGAAAGTCCGCCGCGACGACGTCCGCGCGGTCGCGCTCGTCGCAGGGCAGGCCCCCCCGCTGCTCCCGGAGCGCGTCCACGGCGACGACGGGCACCTCGACGCGGCCGTCGGCGAGGATCGTCGCCGTCTCGAGCGTCCGGTGCAGCGGGCTCGCGAAGAACGCCTCCGGCCGCGGGTAGTGGGGCCGCGCGAGGAGCGCGTCGAGCTCCTGGGCCGCGCGCGCCGACTGCGCGCGCCCGCGGTCCGTGAGGCCCGCGTTGAAGAACTCCTCGCCGGCCGGGTCCGCGAGCTCCGCGGGCTTCTCCGCCGCCGGGTCGCGCGCGAGCGCCGCCGCGTGCGCGACGTCGCGCTCGACCTCCGCCGCGATCTCGTGGACGCCTTCGCCGTGGCGCGCGAGGTAGACGACCTTGGTGACGCGCTTGCCGGTCTGGGGCGCGGCGGCCGGCGCGTCCGACAACGTCCGCTGCGACGCGACGCGGGTCCACCGCCGCCGCGCGGCGGCGGACTTCGGCGACGTCGGCTCCGCGGTCCGCGGCGCGGCGACCGGCGCGTCCGCCGCTTCCCCCATCCCAATTCACTGCTCCATCCCAATGCACTGCACCATCAACGCATGCACGCGCAACTCTTTGTCTATGGGAGGCCGCACTTTCATAATTATAACGCGACTTCACCTTGCTCTGTCAAGGCTTCAAGCTGACCATGTTGACTTTAAAAACTCCGGCACGAGTCCGGCTCGACCGCACGCGTGCGCATGGCCCCCCGGGCGACTCGACGTCGTCCTTCGGCGATGGACGACGCCCGCCAGGCGCGGCGCCGCTCGAGCTCAACAGGCGTTATCGCCGTAGGAGGCCGCGTAGGCCGGGTCGTCGCTCTGGAAGTCGATGTCCGCGGCGCGCCGCCGCGCCGTCGGCGCGAGGCGGAGCTCGATCAGGCGGAGCTCGAGGGCCGAGTGGACGTTCGCCGGCGCCGGGTCCGGCAGGAAGGACGCGGGGTCGTGCTCCTCCACGGAGAAGCCGCGCGCGGCCGCCTCGCGGAAGAACAGGTCCTTCGTCGAGTTCGCGCGCGCCACGAAGCCCACGAAGAAGGCCGCCTCGTCGCAGGTCGACGCCGCCAGGAGCGCCGCGACGGTCTGGAGCAGGGGCGCCACGAGCTTGGGCCAGCAGACGACGTCCGCGCCGACGACGTAGTCGAACGACGCGCCCGCGGCGACGGCCTCGAAGCTCGGCCGGTCGCCCCACAGCAGGCGCGCCACGGAGGCGCTCCGGGGCCGAAGGGCTTCGACGGCGCGCTCGAGCAGGCGCACGACGACGTCGGAGCCGTCCGTGAGCGCGACGCGGTCCGCGCCGACGGCGTCGGCGACGAGCCCGGGCAGCCCGCAGCCCGCGCCGACCTCGAGGACCCGCGCGCCGGCGAAGCGGCGCCGATTCGCGGCGACGAACCAGGCGAGGAGCACGCTCACGGGCCAGACCACCTGGCCCGTGAGGTCGTGGTCCGTCGACGCCGACGTGAGGCAGAGCACGCGCTGCGTGACGCCGCCGACGTCGAAGGCGACGGTCTCGTAGTCCTCGTTGAGGAAGAGGGAACTCTCGAAGTAGCAGGCGTCGTCGTCGTCGCCGGCGTCGTCGTCGTCGCCGGCGTCGTCGTTCGCATTTCGCAGCGCGCTCATGGAGACGCTGGGCTTTTGGGCATCGCTTGTGGCAGCGAGTTCACCGTCTGATTGTTTTTCTTTTCAACATCACTCTCAAAACTCGGAGAGCAGCATCATCAACACGCGCCGAGCGCCACGGAGTTAGGAAAGTTTTTGATGAATTTATGGATGTATCCGGAGATCGGTCGCGACGCTGGGCAAAGCGATTACTCCTCGTCGCAGCACTCCCCGTCGGCAGAGCATTCCAGGCGACGGGACGAGGCGCAGCCCCAAGGACGCACCCCGCAGCCGGCCGTAAAGCGAGCACTCCGCGGTCCTCGTCGGCGGGCACTCCTGGGGCAGCCTTCTTGGGGCTGCACTCGTCCCAGCCCCCAACCAAACTCAACGCCGACGGCAACGCAAGCCATGAGCATGGCCTTCCTCGAGACATTGATCAAGTGGGAGGAGTCGAGCCCGCTCGACGTGGCCCGCGCGCTGCGCGAGGCCGACGCCTTCGCGGCGCACCACGAGGACCTCGCACGCTACGCGCGGGGCCTCGCGGGCCGCATCGCCCAGGAGACGGGCGGCTTCACGGGCGACGAGTTCGTCGCTCGACAGCTCCGCGCCGCAGTCGCCGACGAAGGACTTCCCGCGGTCGCCGCCGACGCCGAAGCGCAAGGCGCCGCTGTCGCCGCTCGCCGGCGGGCCGCTGCCGCTGGGGCTGCCGCCGCGGCGCGCGGGCGCGGCCGCGGGGCCGAACCCCTACGACCTCGACAGCCCGGACGTCGCGTCCTACGCGTCCCTCGAGCACCGCATCGAGCGGCGCGCGTCCTTCGACCGCTGCAGCGAGGAGCGCGCGTCCTTCGAGCGCGAGCGGCGCGGCTCGCGGCGGAGCGACCACGACGACGCGCTCGGCGCGGCGTCGCGCGAGCGGCGGGGGTCCCAGGAGCCGCGGCACCGCGGGTCCGTCGGGGCCGTCCAGAACGCGCCGTCCGTCGTGCTCACGGCGCCCATCGGCCGCCGCGCGAGCGCGGGCGGCTCCGAGAACTACGTCGACAAGAAGGCCCGCGCGATGATCGTCAAGGAGTGCCGCGAGCGCGGCAAGGCGCGCGGCAGCCTCCGCGCGCAGCCCCCCGGCGCGCCCCCGCACCGGGGGCCCGGCTCGCCCGCGTCGCCGCCGGGCGACGCGGCGCCGCCGGGCGACCGGCGCAAGCTCCTGGCCGGCGGCGTCGGCCGCGGGAGCTTCAAGCTCAAGGTGCCCGCGGTGCTCGGCCTCGCGCCCCAGGACGACCGGGCCCAGGAGCGCGCGCGCCAGCGCAAGGTCCTCACGCTCAACGGCGGCAACGTGGGCGAGTGGCTCGACTACATCCGGTCCGCGGAGGACGCGACGCCGCACGAGCTCGAGATGCTCCAGATGCGCGACGACACGTGGCTCGACGCGGCCCTGCGGGTCGTCTTCCCCGTGCTCAGCTACAACTCGAGCTGGCTCCTGTTCTGGCAGCTCGCGATGGTGCTCTGCGTCGTCTACGTCTCCGTGTCGGTGCCCATCGTCATCGCGTGGGGCACGCACGCGCTGCTCCGGAGCGGCCGCTGCGTGCGCTGGATGCACCACGTCGACCTCTTCGTCGACGTCTTCTTCCTCGCGGACATCGCGCTGACCTTCTTCACGTCCTACGTCGACGAGGTCACGGCCGAGGAGGTCACGGACCGGCGGTGCATCGCGTACCGCTACGTCTTCGACCCCTTCGCGGGCAAGTGGATCGTCTTCGACGCCATCGCGTCGCTGCCGACGTCCTTCTTCGGGTGCGCGGGCGGCGGGATCCTCGAGTACGTCAAGTTCATCCGGTTCACGAAGCTCTTCAAGATGCTGCGGATGCTCAAGATCAACTCCATCGTCGACACGCGCCACATGCCCTTCTTCCACCCCGTCATGATGCGCTTCATGCGCATTTTGCTGGGCCTGCTCTTCGTCTGGCACCTCTTCGCGTGCCTCTATTGGCGCGTCGCGCGGTCGGAGGAGTACTGGAGCACGGGATGCGACCCGGCCGCGTTCAGCTGCTGGATCCCGCCGAAGCGCGTGCGCGACGCGCCCTTCTTCCGCCAATACTCCTACGTGCGCCCGCCCCGCGTCCCCCGCGTTCGCCGCGCGCGCGCGCGCGGAAGCGTCGGAATACCCGAGGGCGCACCGCGCGGCCGCCCGACGAACCCCCCCCCCCCCGCAGGCCTACCTCTGGGGCTCCATCCACTCCTTCGGGTCCGTCTTCGCCGTGCCGACGACGACGCGGACCATGTGGACGACGGCGTCCGTCGCGATCGTCGGCCTCGTCGTCAACGCGATCGTCATCGGCTCGGCGACGAACGTGTTGGACGGCTTCCACTCCATCGCCAAGCAGCACCAGAAAAGGAAGGACGGCGTCAACCACTACATGCGCTGGCAGAACTTCCCGCCGGAGACGGTGCGGCGCGCGAATGATTTTTTGGACTACCAGTGGGCGACGGGCACGACGGTCGACGGCGCCGAGGTCATGAGGGACATGCCGCCGCCCTTGCAGCTCGAGATGCGCATGTGCCTGAACCGCAAGATCATCGACACGCAGCCCCTGTTCTGGGAGCTCGGGCCGAAGCTCATGATGGTCCTCGTGACCGCGCTCAAGGCGCACATCACGACGCCGAACGAGACGATCCTGCGCGAGGGCGACCACGGCGACCTGCTCTTCTTCCTCGTGCACGGCGAGGCGCTGGCCTACTGCGACGGCGACGAGGGCAACCGGAAGAAGGCACTGCTGCGCGCGGCGAAGGCGCGCGTCGCGCGCCGGCGGCTCCTCGCGGCCAAGGGCGGCGTCATCGCGGGCAAGCCCCTCGCGCGAGAGGCCGCGCTGCTGCACGAGGTCCTGCGGCGCAACACCAACGGCGTCCGCGGCGCCGAGGACGAGCACTTCGCGCCGCCGCCCGCGCGCGGGCCCCGCGCGACGACGATCAACGGCCTCGGCCGCCGCGTGGACGCGGGCGGCCTGCGCGGGGGCGCGGGCCCGCCCGGGTCGTCGCCGCCCGCGGGCTGGCGCCGCCAGCTGCAGAGCAGCGACGGGCCCGCGGCGGACGACGGCGACCGGCGCGACGGCGTCGCGCGGAAGACGCTCATGCGCACGATGACGGACACGGTCAAGTTCGTCTTGAGGTCCCGGTCCTTCAAGAACCAGTCGCTGGACCGCGTCGGCGTCGTCCACGGCGACGCCTACGTCGCGGAGGAGGCGCGGGACGACGGCGGCGACGACGACGACGACTACCAGCACGTCATTTTGCTCTCCGTGTTGAAGATCGGCGCCGTCATCGGCGAGATCGCCCTGCTCAGCGAGGACGAGAAGCGGACGGCGTCGGTCTTGACGACGCAGCACTGCGAGCTCTACAGCCTCGACGCGGAGAACTTCAACTTCATCCGGAGCTCGCACGCGGAGTGGCACGAGATCCTCGTGCACAGCGCGGAGCAGCGCGTGACGTGGTCGAAGCAGATGAAGGCGCTCGTCAACGACGACGTGTCGCCGGACGACGCGGCGGCCGTCGAGCACGCGAACAACTTCCTGGCCAAGCGCCGCGCGACGGCGTCGCGCGTCGTCGCGCCGTTCCACGCGACGTCGACGACGATCAAGCGCGACGGCCAGAGCCACTGGGACTACATGAAGCAGACCAAGGTCGCGCCGACGCTGTCCGCCGCCGGCGACATGCTCCGCAACTCGTCGAGAGGCATCGACCGCGTCCACCGCATCTCCAGGGAGATCAACGACCGCCTCCGCAGCTCGTCCCTCCGGCGGTCCAAGAACAACGGCGACGCGACGGACGGCGCGGCGGCGAACGGCGGCACCGACGCGCTCGTCGACTCCGCCGTCCGGCGCATGTCCAAGGAGCCGGAGCCGCCGCGCGCGTGAGCCCCTGTTTACCTCGCTTGTCTTTTATGTCGCTCGGGGGTGCGGGTGGGCACGAGCGTACGGGTAAAATTTTAGTAATGGGAGGAGGCGCGTGCATCTGAGCATTAGATAGATGAGCATTTCAAGCGATTAGTCGAGCATTGGCCGCACGATGCGCGCGTGGTATTCGATCATCATCTTCTTCTTCCTCGGGGGCCTCGCCCCGAAGACGTCCGGGCAAGAGCTCGCCAAGCTCGTCGCGAGCGACGCCGCAGGGGGCGACTACTTCGGCTACTCCGTCGCCATCAGCGGCGACCTCGTCGTCGTCGGGGCTAAGTACAACGACGCCGCCAGCTACGACTCGGGCTCGGTCTACGTCTTCCGCACGACGAACGGCGGCGCCTCCTGGACGCAGGTCGCCAAGCTCGTCGCGAGCGACGCCGGGTGCGAGGACTGGTTCGGCTCCTCCGTCGCCGTCAGCGGCGACCTCGTCGTCGTCGGGGCGTACTGGAACGACGACGCCGGCTCCAACTCGGGCTCGGCCTACGTGCTCAGCGCGCCGACTCCGCAGCCTACTCCGCGGCCTACTCCGCGGCCAAACCCGCAACCCGCCCCGGGTTCGCCTACGACGAGTTCCGCCCCGGGTTCGCCTACGACGAGTTCCGGAGGCGGCGGCGGCGGCGGCGGCGGCGGCGGCGCGGACACGATCGTCGTCGCGGCCGCGGCCGTCGCGGCCGTCGTCGCGGTTGCCATCGCCTGCCTCTGCATCAAGCGTCGCCGGACCAAGGCCGCCGCGGCTCGCGCGGACATCAACCTCGAGGCGCCTCCGGATCGCGACGACGCCTTCGCGGGCGGCGCTCGGAACGTCGCGGGCGCGGCGCGGCACTCCGCCTCGACGAAGACGCCCTCCGCGCCGCCCGCGAGCGCGAGTTTCGCGGCCGCGCCGGCGGCGGAGCCCGTGCCCAGCGCGCGGTACCAGCAGCTGATGCTCGAGTCGGAGGGCGTCGTCGCGCAGGGCATGAACGCGGTCCACGTCCTCCTCGCACTGGGGCAGGTGGCGGGCGGGCCGGTCGTTGGTCCGATCTGCGAGGTGGCCCGCGACATCCTTCGCTCCGTCGAGGAGCACTCGCGCAAGGCGGACGACGTCTTGATGGCCGGGCGAAGAGTCGTCGACGTCCTCGGCGCGTTGCAGCAGATGTCCAAGAACGCAGCGAAGCTCGAATTCGGGAACGCGGACCTCGTGGAGTCGAAGATGCGAACGCTGAAAGGCCTCCTGTGCGACTTCAAGCTGGCCGTCGACGCCTTCGGACAGGCGGGCTGGCTCAAGCGCGCTTTCCACCAGCGCGGGCACGTCAACTCGCTGACGAAGCTCGACAAGGAGATCGCGACGTGCCTCGAGAGCCTCAAGCTCGATTACAAGCTCGCGGTGGACGCCGATATTCTCGAGCGCACATATCAGATGGAACAGTCGATCACGATGCTCGTGGCGAAGCGCTGCTCCGAGACCCGCGAGGACCCGGCCGCGGCCGCCGCGATCCTCGCGCGGACTCCGGTCGCGATCGCGGAGGTCGTGGAGAACGCGCACGTGCCCGAGGACGAGCTCCTGATCGAGATGCGCGAGTTGAGTGGCGAGGTGAGCAAGGGCCTGGCCAAGATCATAGACTCCCATCACGAAATGCAGCAGGGCGTCGCTACGGTACTCGAAAAGTTGGAGACGTTGACGAAATGGGACCGCGCGCGCCGTCTCAAGGCGACGCACATGGAGGAGAACGAGATCGAGCTCGATTTCGTCGAGGTGGAGCCGTTCGCGGGCGGTGGCCAGGGCAGCGTCCACAAAGCGGAGTACGCTGGCGAAATCGTGTGCCTCAAGAAGTTCTCGCTGGTCGGCGTCGGAGCGCAGTCCGCGCGCGACAAGATTCTCTCCAGTTTCAAAAAAGAAGTCGGCATCATGGATAAGCTGCGCAAGCACCCGCGCACCATCGACATTGTTGGCATTTGCACCACGGATGCGAGCTTTGTCGGCATCGTCACGCAGTACCTGCCGAACGGGTCGCTCCGCGGCGTCCTCGACGCGCGCGGCGATGCCATCACGCCCAAGACGCAGTTCATTTGGGCCAAGGACATCGCCATCGGCATGGCCTACCTCCACGAGGTGGGCGTCTTGCATCGCGACCTCAAGAGTCAAAACGTGCTCCTGACGAACGAGTGGCGTTGCAAGATTACGGACTTTGGCATCAGTAAGTCAGAAGCCCTGAAGACTATCGCGACGACCTCAACCATGCGCGGAGGAGCTGGGATCTCCGGGACGTTTCCGTTCACGGCGCCCGAGGCTTTTAGCGCGAAATCACGGTTTACTACGAAGTGCGACGTCTATTCTTACGCGATCGTGCTCTGGGAGATCTGGGACCACGGAAAACCCTGGGACGGCTTCGATCTGCCGGAGATCATGGATGCGGTCCGTGTCGAACAGGAGCGCCCGAAAGTCCCAGAGTCGATGCCAGTCGAAATGCGTTCGCTCATGTGCCACGCCTGGTCTCACGACGCAGCCGCGAGGCCGGATTTCAAAGACATTGTTATGCAACTATATATTATCGAAGGCCAAGGGCTGTGAATGGGTCCACGCGTCCCTGGTGAGCATATTAGATTATGAAAAGCTCGGCCGCGATTCAGACATGAAAGATCCGCGACTCAGCGAATATGCGCGCCCTCATCTATATCAAGCACAAAATGTAAAACTCTGTGCGCTCGAGGTCGTTCCGTCTATGAACGCAACATGTCCACCTGAACTTTATTACCAGCTTAAGGGCCTCGGTCTCCTCGAATCGTGACTCCGAGATCTCGTCGTCTACACGACCGCGCGCGACTCTTCCTTTGGAGACAAGCTCCGAATTACAACCTCCTTCGATCGTTCCTATTTCATCTCCTCCCTCCCACCCCACCCCCTTCCCGCAGTCCACTAGGCTAGTAATGTCGCGCGCCCTTCGACCCGGTCGCGGCGCAGATGTCCGGCCTCGGCGTCGACGTCGCCGGACCGCGCGAGGGCCGGGTTGCAGGACTCCGGCGGATCGGCGAGCGCGCGTCGCCACTCGTCGCGGAAGATGCCGCGCGCGCGGCTCCGTAGAGCGCGCGGTCGAAGCCGCCGTATTCCTCGTAGTCGAAATTTTGTTAGAGCGCGCGCGGACCCTCAGCCCGGCCGGAGCCCCGGCGGCACGGCGCCGCCGTGGCGGAGGCGCAGCACGACGCCGTCGAGGAGGTTCGCCGTCGCGCGGCCGAAGTCCGTCGACGTCGCCGCGCGGCCGTAGCCGTAGACGACGTCGCCGCGGATCGCGTCGAGGTACTTCCAGATCTCGAGCTCCGCGGCCGGCGTCACGTTCGCGATGGCCGCCTTCGTCGCCGCGAGGGCATCGTCGTAGAACCACTTCTCGTCCACCCGCGGGAAGCGCGAGTAGTCGATGAGCGTGTCGTGGAACGGGGTGTGCGGGTGCTTTTCGCCGGAGACGAACCAGCCCCAGCCCGGGCGGCACGGCGGCTCGCACCTGCCCCAGAGCCGCGTGCCGACGATGAGGGGCACGCAGTCGGCGACGATGGAGTCGAAGATGCGGCGCGACGTCGGCGTGTCGCCGCACATGACGAGGCAGAAGTCGGAGACGCGCATCGCGTGCGCGAACTTGGATTCCACGAGCACCTTGTGCGCGTCCGCGAGGCGCCGGCCGAAGAGGCGGTCCGACGCGCGCCGCAGGCCGTCGACGAGGCGCCGCGCGAGCCGCCGCCGGCGCGCGCGGCCCGCGGAGACGTGGATCGCCGCCTTGGGCAGCGCCTTGAGCCCGAGCGCCGTCGACCGGTTGCAGCCGGACCACTTCGTCGCCTGGGGCCGCCCGTTGGCGGCGAAGAAGACGGAGATCTCGTGCTGGTGCACGTTCGTGTCGCGCTGCTCCGCCGGGCCCGCGAGCTTGGACGCGTCGACGACGTAGGGCATGGGCACCATGCGGTCCAGGACGGTAGAATTCGACGTCGCGAGCTCGCGCGGCGTCGGCCGGTCCGCGCCGACCCAGGCCGGGTTCATCTCGAAGGTGCCGAACCAGGCGCGGTGGAGCACCTTCTGCACGTCCGGGAAGCCCACGCGCTTCGCCGTGCCGGGGTTCGTCCCCGAGTAGCCGAAGACGTGGTCCGCGCCGCCGCGGCGCCGGAAGTAGTACGCGCCCGCGAGCGCCTCGAGCATGGCGGCGAGGCGCCGGGCGTGGTTGTGCGCGGAGACGAGCGTCGACAGCGTCAGGTAGGCCGGCACGAAGAAGACGTCCGCGTCCGCGGGGTCGTCCGTGCGCCGCGAGTCGTTGAGCAGCGCGCGGTGCGTCCACAGCTCGACCTTGTCCTCGGCGAGCACGTAGAGGTCGTCGACCTTGTGCTCCCGCCCTCGGAGGAGGTCCGTCGTCATCGCGTCGAAGGCGCCGCCGCCGTAGACGTAGAAGCGGTAGGCGCCGACGGCCCGCTCGACGCGCGACCGCTGCTGGGCGTAGTGCTCGTGCTCGCTGTCGCGGTGCGAGTGGTCCACGGTGCGGTGCGCCGTCTCGTCCCAGTATTTCGCGGGCTCCTTGGTCGCCGCGGCGACGGCGACCAGCGCCAGCGCGGACCACATCGATGGGGCTGTGTGGTAATTGAAGCACACATTGATCCTTGGTTGCCCCTCACGGTTGACGTTGGAGTGGTTGTGTGCCCAGCGAATCACATCACCGGGCCGTCCTCAGAAGGGTAAAAGCGCGACGGACGGTCGCCGCCGCGCGCCTCGAACTCCCGGGCGCTGGCGTTGGGAGATGTACTGGGAGCTTGAAGTTCAAGTTTCCTTCACTTCACATTCAACCACGCCGAGCGCTAGCCTACGGACCCTTAAGACACATCGCGACCGAGAGGAGCAGGACGTCGGCCTCGCGGTCGCCGGCCGCGTAGAGGACGCCCAGGGGCGAGACGCCGCTCGCCTCGAGGCCGGGCGTCCAGGCGGAGTCGACGAAGCCGAGCTGGCCGCCGACGACCTGCGCCCAGGTCGTCGCCGCCGTCGCCGGGATTTTCAGTCCCAGGACCGCGGCGACGGACCGCGACACCAGCCACGTCGCGTTGTACTGGCCGATCTTGAGGACCTTCATGAGCTCGGCGCGGACGTCGGCGGCGACGGGCGCGGCGACGTCCGCGTTCAGCACCGTGTTGGCGGGCTGGCGGGCGAAGGCGCAGAGGCCGGCGCCCGAGCTCGCCAGGGCCCGGGCGGCGGCCTCGAGCTCGGCGATGTAGCGCGTGACGCGGCCCGGCATCTTCCCGGGCCGCCCCGGGCCGGCGGCGGCCGCGGCGGCGCGCTCGGGCTTCGTCAGCTGGCGCGTGTCGACGCGCAAGGCCGCCTCGCGGATGTCGCGGACCGCGGCCGCGGGCGTGAAGACGCCGGGTTTGCCGAGCGCCCGCTCGACGACGGCCGCGAAGCGGCGGCGCTTCGACGCGTGCATCAAGCACGCGGCGACGAGCGCGAAGAACGCGAACGCCAGGTCGCCGTGGTCGCGCAGCACGGACCGCGCGAGCTTGCCGAGCTTCGGCGCGTACTTGAGGTCCGGCGGCCGCGCGGCGACGACGCCGCGCGCCGCTTCGATGACCGCCGCGACCGCGGGCTCCGACTGCAGTTCCCACGCGCGGTCCCGCGCCTCCTCGGCGGCCTTCTCGCGCGCGCGAGCTGCGCTCCGGCGCTTTGTGTCAGTGCCCTGATTGAACGTGCGGCGCAACATCGTGGATCGATGGTAGCCGGTCGCTCAGCTGACGAGGTCAATCTTCAGACCTTGAGGCTTTGCTTGCACTGCCGGCCCGCCACAGCTCGCCAGATCTGGCACTGCGCCATGCGCGCCCGGACCGGCTCCGACGGCTGCGGCCCGCATTGCGCCGTCGAAGTCGTGCTCTGAGGTACCTCTGACCAGCTTTTGAGCGTCCGTCGACGCGCGCGCGCGCGTCTGCGGCGGGGTGCCGGGCTACGACGCGTCGACGCCGAGGACGCAGTCCGCGGTGCGATTCTGGGCGGAGACGCCGGGCTGGCGCTCCTCGAAGGCGTTCGGTACGCGGGGCAAGCCCTCGAAGGCGTTCGCGTGGCTCCCGGGTGCGATATCGGCGTGGGAGACGTCGTGCGGGCTCCGGAGCGCCTCCTGCGGCCCGAACACGCACGATTTCACCCCCGTCGGCGGCGCCGACGGGCCAACGATCGATGATTATGTGCCCCCCCGACCGGGGCGCCCCCACGCGCGCGCGCGCGCGCCGGCCGGCCGGGCGCGGGCGCGGGCGCGGGCGCGGGCGCCGGCGCCGGCGCCGGCGCCGGCGCCGGCGCCGGCGCCGGCGCGGACGCGTGCGCGTGCGCGTGCGCGTGCGCGGACGCGTGCGCGGTCGAGGGAGAGCCTTACTCGCGCGGCCTAGGGCCCAACAGGGCCGCGCGTCGGGGCGGTCGCCGGCTTGGTCACCCGGGCCGCCGGCGGGTCGCCGCGTCGTCGCGCCGGCGCCCGGGCCGCCGACCGCGGCGCGAGAAGACGACGGTCGGCCGGACCGCTCCGGGGTCCCGCAGGTCGCTCGTCCCGTCGCATCGGGCGGCGCGGGATCGCTGGGACCGCAGGTCGTAAATTGGCGCTTTGGGGAGCTACCCCGGCGAAGCTAACTACATGTACAGACCTCGATCGACCTCGATCGCGGCCGCCGAGCGGGAACCATCCCAGAGCGCCGTCCGCCGCCAATCAATGAAGCTGTGCGTGTTCGCAAGCTACCCGCCGCGGGAGGACCTGCGCCCCGGCGACTGGCTCTGCGGTATGTGCGACGCGGCCAACGCTCCGCGGTACCCCAGCTGCGGCTGCGGCACGCCGCGCGCCGCCGCGCCCGCGACGGCGATCATGTGCATCCCGTGGCCGCGCAATCCGGAGCCCGACGCGTGGGCCTACGGGTGCCTCGTGGATCGGCCCGACGGCTACGTCGCGGCGGCGGGCGACGCCGACTTGGACGGCAACATCCACAACGGCACGTCGTACACGGCCGAGGACCGCGGAGACCTGCTCGAGCTGCTCGGGCGCGCCGCGCCCGACTACGCCTACTACACGGCCCGGCGCGCGGGCGCCTCCCACCTTCGCGCCAAGCTCGCCGCCATCGACGTCGCGCTCGAGGTCTCCCTGCTCGATCAAGAACGCCACGCCAACCTCAAGCTCTCCCTCGAGGCGTCGCTCCGCTGGGAGCGGCGCCTCGCGGCCGAGTCGGCCACCGCGACGGCCGCCGCGAGGGGCTTCCAGAACTACTTCGCCAACGTGCCCAAGAAGCCCGCGCTCCCGCCGGCCGCGGCGCCCCAGCCGCCGGAGACGGCCGCGGCGCCGCCGAACTGGGCCTGCGCCGCCTGCACGTTCGTCAACGAGAACCCCGACTTCCTCTGCTGCGAGATCTGCCGCAGCCCCCGCCCCGCCGCCTAGGTCGCGTCTAGAAGCCTAAGCATCCCTACCGACCTCGGGCGGGCCATCTTCGCGGCGTCACGCCGGGCCGGCGGCGTCCGGCTACTCGTCCGCGAAGAGGCCGGCCCGGCGCCAGGCCTCGGGCGCCGGGGGGCGCGCGTGGCAGTCGAAGGTCGAGAGGACGACGTCGACGGGGTCGCGCACGAGCACGACGCGCGCGGCGCGCGCGCGCTGGCCTGCGAACGGCGACCGGTCGAACGCCGGCGCTCGAAGCGCGCGGGACGCGGGACGCGGGCCGCCGCGAGGGCGCCGCGGTCCAAGTCCGGGGACATCACCTGGTCGAGGAAGCGCGTGCCCGGCGCCGCGCCGGGCGGCGCGGCGAGCGCGGAGAAGTTGCCGTGCCGACCGCGCCGCCGTCGGAGATGCAGGCCTTGGGCGGGAGGCCGCGCGCGCGCCCGCGAGGCCCGCGACGAGCGCGTTCGCGAAGACCGTGCCCGTCTTGTGGAAGGCGGCGACGATCTGCACGCCCGCGCAGCCGCCGCCGGCGGCCGCGGCGCAGCGCGTCAGCCACTCTCCTGCCCCAAGCAGCCCCACGCGTCTCGAGTGCATCGAACAGTGAGGTTTGCCTCATCCCCGCCCAGTAACGCGGCAGCCGCTCGAAGGGCATGGAGGCGCCGAGCGACGCCGGCGCCGCCGGCACGCAGGGCGCCGCCGCGGGCAGCGCGGGCCCCCGACCGGCCGCGGACGACGCGCAGCGCGAGAAGAAGAAGCAGAAGCAGGACGAGCGGAAGGAGAAGAAGGCCTACCCGTTGACGGTCAAGGCCGGCGCGCCGCTCCTCGTCAACGGCCAGCTCGTCGTCGTCGAGGACACCGCCGAGGACTACGGCGGGAAGGTGGCTCCGTCGGGGTTTGCGCGGGTGCGCTCCATGAGCGACGCGAAGATGAAGCTCGTCCAGCTCGGCTACGAGGCGCGCCTGGCGCGCACGGCGACGGACGACGAGGTCCGGGCGGAGCTCGGGCGGGACCGCGCGCGGGTCGCGGGCGCGCGCGGCGCGCTGCCGTACCCGGTCCTCACGCCGGCCGTCATCGCGGCGCGCGAGGCGCGCGCCGCGGAGAGGCTGGAGGAGTTCGAGCGGCGCCAGGTCGTGCGCGCGTGCGCGCGCGCGCACGACCTCAAGCCCGCGCCCGCGGCCGCCGTCCACGCGGCCGCGGGCCGCGCGCGGGCGACCGCCTGGTCCATCCAGCGCGGGCTGATGACCGTCGCCGGCGGCGAGCGCTGCGGCGCCGCGTTGAAGGGCAAGAAGGAGCCGCCGCCGCCGCCCAAACGCGTCAAGATCGGCCTGTGCGCGGGCAGCCACAATCTCGAGGCGGAAATCGAAGCGCTGGACCCGGAGTGCATCACGCTGACGATCGACATGTCGCCGGAACCCGTGTGGAAATCGAACCTTTCAGCCCTTCAAACCGACTTTTCAAAACCAATGGTCGATTTCCACACAGGCCGGCGCTCAACCCCGACGTCGTCGCCGACGCGGGCGAGGTGGACATCGTCGAGCTCGTCGGGCGGGACGTCGCGACGGACATCTTCCTGCACATGCCGTGCGGCGGGGGCTCGAAAGTGTGTACGCACCCGTGTGGAAATCAAACCCTCATCAAATTCCGAAAATTTTCGTTGTGTTGCCCAAAGCGAATTCGAGTTAGCGCGCTCAGCGTATCATATGAGAGGTTTGGGTCGCTGGTTCGGGCCGGGAATTGCATGTGATTCGCGTTCAACGGGCAGCTCCCCGCCCAACGGACGCGGGACAAGCCCATTTTTTTTTTCCCGCTGCCACACAGGCGAGCACAACCACCAGAACCCGGAACGGGGCGACCACCTGCGCGTGCGGAGAGAGAACCAGCTGCGCATCGCGCTCAACTTCGTGCGCAACGTCGACCGGCTCGTCAAGAAATTCCCGAACCTGCGCATCTGGCGCGACGCCGCGTCCGTCTTGTCTTCCGCGCGCGTGACCATTCCACCGTAGGATCGAGTGCCCGCACGGCAACGATTTTTGGAAGACGGCGGAGTACAAGCAGCTGAGGTACGTCCACAGGCTCTACGAGTTCCCCTTCGAGCACTGCGCGGAGATCTTCAAGATGCCCAAGGACAAGAAGTACAAGAAGCGCGGCATCCTCGCCACGAACGCGCCCACCTTCCCCGCGCCCACGCGCGGCAACATGAACGTCGTCCCGGAGGACCTGCTCTGCGACTGCCCCTACAAGAACTGCAAGCACCCCGTGTCGCTCACGGGCGAGCAGCTCGCGGCCGCCGCCGTCTACCCGCCGGGCGTCGCCAAGCAGTTCGCCCTGGCCATGCAGCAGGCCGAGGTGCTGCCGATCAAGGACCCCAAGACCTACGAGGACCTGCTGTGGAACTTCGACAAGCTCTACGAGGAGAAGTACGGCCGCGTCGACCGCGACGAGTTCGAGGCCTACGGGCCGCAGCCGCCGCCCGCGCCGACGGGCGAGTAGGCCGCGCCACTCCCTTTCCCCCCAGGAGGTCCAAAGTAGCCTCTAAAAATCCGTCCGAGTGCGTACTGTCTCGTCTTTCGAAAGACGAGACAGTACGACTTCCGAATCAGCTTTTCTTCGCGCCGAAGCGGCTGCGAATCGACGCGGATTGCATCCAGGGCGGGCCGCGATCTCCGGCCGGGCCTGGGAAGCAAAAAAAAACAAAAAAGGCAGGGCTTCGCGGGGATCATTGGGAGGGGTGTAACTCTGGGGCGGGTCGCGATCTGGAGACCGGGCGTGAACTGAGGCACCCGGGGGGTCCTCCTCACTGCCCATGGGTCGAGCGGTGATTCGAACCGAGAACCGAGATTCTACGGTCACTGGAATCCAGTAGACACTTAATTGCGTGACGAATGCGCGTGCGGGGCTAAAATCGGTCCTTAAAGTGACTTGAATTGAAGTTGAAGCGGAACCAACTTTTGGCCCGACTCCGTCAGAGCTGCTAGTTCCTGCGAGCCCTTGCGCGCAATGGCTCAGCCGCATCTGGGCAGCGGCAGCGGCTGGGGCGGCAGCGTGTTCAAGAAGGCGTGGGCCCGCGTGGCCTGGACGCTGAACGAGGACGAGATCAAGGACCTCCCCGAGTTCGACCCGAAGCCGGCGAGCGCGCACGTGCCGAGCGCGAAGGGCGCGTCGCGCGCCGCGTGCGCGGGCGCGGCCAAGGACCCCACGAAGTTCTTCAAACGCAAGAACCTGCGGATCTTCACGCTCGCGATCGCGACGCTCGGCCTCGTCTGCGGCCTGCCGTCCGGCGTGACGGCGGCCGTCGAGCGCGCCGGCGAAGCGATCTTCGATCATGAGCTCGGCTCCCTGTCGCCCTACGACGCGATGCGCGGCGCGGACGTGAATTGCCGGCGCACGGTGATCATCCGCGACACGCTGGACACGTTCAGCGACACGGCGGCGGAGCTCGAGAAGAAGATCGGCGCCGCGGCCTTCTCCCAGATCACGGACTTCGCCGCGTACGCGGCGGAGAAGTTCAAGGCGCCGGTGGAGTCCATCCGCATCCTCGCCTACGACACGCCGGCCCCCGGCTGCGTGTCGAACGGCGAGCACACCGACGGCTGCATCGTCGGCGACAAGGGCCTCCAGGCCCGCTACATCGCCGGCGCCGGCACCGTCACCTACCTCCTCACGGCCAAGGTCATCGACATGAACGCCGACCCGCTCGTCGAGTTCTCGACGCTCGCCTCGTACATCATGACCGTGCCCGCGGGCGCGGCGGTCCTCATGGACAACGTCGCGTCGGGCGTCGACCTCCTCGGCTACGTCCGCCACGAGGACAAGTACATCGCCGTCAAGCTGTTCCACACCGTGCTCGGCGTCGAGGCGCCCCGCACGAGCCTCGTGCTCACGTGGGCCGCGTCCACGGCGTCGCTCATCGTCGACGCGGCCGCGCGCCTCCGCGCCGGCTGGAAGCCGCCCGACGACCGCGCGACGAAGGCCGACGCGATCAAGAAGGCCGACGCGGACATCGAGGCCTGGAAGGCGAACAAGAAGCGGTTGCTCGAGGCCATGGAGCGGGCGACGGGCAAGACGGAGCACGAGCGCTCGACCGAGAGGGCGCGCGACGAGGGCTACGAGAGCCGTCGCGACAAGTACGACAAGATGGCCCAGGAGGAGGGCTACAAGGACTGGCGCGACAAGAACGCGAAGGACGCGGGCTGCGACAACTGGAGCGACTACCTGACGGAGTGCGCGAAGAAGCGCGGCTACAAGTCGAGGTACGAGGCCGAGAAGGCCTCGGCCGCGAAGCTCCCGGGCATCACGTCCCGCCACGACCTCTGGGTCAAGAACTCCTACGCGAAGTACATCGGCGTCAAGAAGGGCTGGGCGGCGCTCGTCGCCGCCGTGGGCCTCGCCGCCGCGCTCCGGAAGTTCGCCAAGAGCGACTTCCCGAAGAACCAGCTCCAGCTCCTCAAGGCCCGCAAGGAGGGCCGCTTCTCCCAGAGCTAAACTGCCCGCCCCTACGCCCCCCGCCCCCGCTAAGCATCCTAAGAACCCATCCGCGGTGATCGATGTGTCGCGCGGACATCTCGCGCGCGAAGCGGCGGCGATCGTCCTCGCTCGCGGCGCCGCGCGCGCCGTCGCCGCAGCAATCGCGCAACACCGACCCCGCGGCGCCTCCGCGGCCGTGCGTGACGACCGCCGAAGCATCCGAGACCGCTAGCCCGGCGCGGTTCGCGCCGCCGAGGCGACGCCGCTTCCGCCCGCGCCGCGCCGAGGCCATCTTCCGCCGCCGCCCACGACGACGACCTCTGACGCCGCTACTCGACGACCGTCGTCGGCGACGAGCAGATGCTCAACAACGGCAACGCGCACCGCTGGTAGCGCTTGGGCCGTCGAGAAAGGCCGCGCGGCGCAACTCGTCTGGCGCGCAGATCCAGTGCTCAGATATCGCATCGATCTCCGTCGCCACTTCAGGATCTTTCCGTCGAAGTTGAGGCGTTAGTTGCCGATCGGCCGCGCGAGCGCCGCAGGCGGCCTGAGGGGCAGCGCGGGCAGCCACGCGGCCGCGGCTCAGGGCGCCTACTTCTCCTTGGAGCGGCGCGCGAGGATCTCGCCGAGCTCCGGATCTCGCCGAGCTCCTCGAGGCTGACTTCGACGCCCGCGGAGTGGTTGTCCTTCTGCCTGCTGAGGAGCGACGTGATCTGCTCCTGGCGGCTCTTCTCGCCCTCCGGCTCCGACAGCTCTACGTGAGCTCGCGGACAAGAGCACGGGCCAGATCACGCGCGCGTCCTACGATTTCTCCAACTATTCGAAGACGGGCCTCGGCTGCGACCGCACGTCGCGCGGCGTCGGCAGCCGCATGATCGACACCTACGCGCCCGCGCTCCGGGAGATCCTCGACGACCCCGCGCGCGTCCCCGAGGAGCAGCTCCTGTTCTTCCACAACAAGAAGTGGACGGACCCCGTGCCCGCGTACTACGGCAACGCGACCGTGCGCCTCTTCGACCGCATCCGCGACCGCCACGCGGGCGCGCTCGACGAGCTCCGGGGCATGGCGGCGACGTGGGACGGCCTCGAGGCCGCGCTCGGGGGCGACGCGCGCTTCGCGGGCGTCCGGGCGCGCTTCCTCCAGCAGATGAACGACGCCGCCGTCTTCTCCGACACGATCATGGGCTTCTACGGCGCCCTCAGCGGCCTCTAACGCGTCTAGTCCTCGGCCTTGGGCGCGGGGAGGCAGCACGCGCCGCACGCGTTGCAGAAGATCGTGAGGAAGTGGAGGAGGCAGACCCAGCAGGCGGTCCAGTGGAAGAAGATGCAGCAGGGGCACTGGAGGATGGACCAGCAGAAGACGCAGCAGCACGTGCAGCACATGCCGCAGTGGTACTTGGCCATCATCTTGTGCGCGAAGCGCGTGAAGCAGCAGCACGTGCGCTCCCGGAAGGTCATGGCCTTGAGCTCGGCCTCGAGCTCGTCCTCCTCGTCCTCCTCCTGGAGCATGGACGCGACGTCGCGGCCCAGCGCGTTCTGGTCGAGCACGGACAAGCGGCGCTCCTCGTCCGCCGCCGTCTTCGCGACGATTCGAATGAAGACCTTCTCCATGGACGCCTGGGCCACGGAGAACTCGGCGATGCCCAGGTCCGCGCGCGCCGCCGCGTCGAAGGCGCGGAAGGCCTTGGCCAGGAGGCCCCGCTCGGACGCGCCCGAGACCTCGTACGTCAAGAGCGACGCGTCGGCCGCCGCGAGCGCCTGGGCAGGACAAGAGAGATTCAACGTCGCTTCAACGTGAGTGTTCCGCGCGCGCGCGTTCCAGAAAAAGCACCCACGCTTCGTGACCGTTCCAAGAGATGATCGCTCGTCCAAAAATCAGCCGAAACGAGCGGAAAACGACCGAGATAGGAGCCTTTGAAGTTGGGAATTTCGCTCTCTTTTGCTGCCCTGGCGAGCGCGATGGCGTGCTCCGGCGCGAAGGTCGCCGTCGCGAAGGCCGTCACGCGGTTGATGGCCTCGGTCCAGGCGCCGGGCGACGCGCACGCGCGGTCGTCGAGCTTCACCGCGAGCTCGTAGCCCGACGCGTGCTGGTCCTTGAGCTGCCGCGGCGTGCCCAGGCACTCGAGCTGGCCCTTGACCATGATGCCGATGCGGTCGCAGAGCACGTCCGCCTCGACCATGGAGTGCGTCGTCAGCACGACGGCCCGGCCGGCCATCGTCGCCTTGACGAGGTTCCACAAATTCCGCTGCGACACGGGGTCGAGCCCCGCGGACGGCTCGTCCAAGAGCACGATGCGCGGGTCCCCCACGAGCGCCGCGGCGCAGCAGAGCTTGCGCTTCATGCCGCCGCTCAGCCGTCCGGCCATCTTGTGCGCGTGGCCCAGGAGCTCCACGCGCCGGAGCGTGTCCGTCACGAGCGCGCGCACCGCGATCTCCGAGCCGACGCGCCGGAGCCGCGCGAAGAGCGCGCAGTGGTCGTAGCAGGACAGCGACGGCCAGAGCGAGTTGTGCTGGTTCACGACCCCGAGATGCGCCGACGCCTCGCCGAAGTCGCAGAGGACGGACTTGCCCGCGATCTTCGCGTCGCCGGACGTCGGCTCCGTCGCGCGCATGACCATGGACATGGTCGTCGTCTTGCCCGCGCCGTTGGCGCCGAGCAACCCGAAGACCTCGCCGACGCGCACGCCGAAGGTCACGTTCTGCACGGCCTCGACGGCGACGGCGCCCGGGCGCTTCGGCGCGTAGATCTTCCGCAGTTCGAAAACGTCCAACCCCGCGGCCGCGGACGCCTCCTTGAGCTCCGGCGGGTAGGCGTCCTCCGGGGGCCGGTTGCGCACCATGGCGCGCACCTCCTTGAGGTCCCTGAGGACCTGTCGGGCCAGGTCCTTGAGCGCGGGCCCGCAGCCCGCCGCGGCCGCCGGCTTCGCGTCGTCGTCGTCCGCGGGCGCCGCGTCCGCGAGGCGGCCCAGGACCCGGTTCCGCTCCTTGGCGACCTCCTCGTCGAGGCGGAGCTTGCGCTTCTTCGAGAACTTGGAGCGCGCGTAGGCCAGGGGCCGCGTGGCCATGCGGTCCTTGAGGTACGCCGCGGCCTCGAACGCGACGATCTGCGCCAGCAAGACGACCATCGTCGCCCAGAACGCGGGCCAGAGCGGCGCGTTCTTCGTGTCCAGGATCTTCTGGGCCCGCGGGAGCATGCCCAGCGCCATGAAGAAGGGCCGCAGGCCCGTCCGCAGGAACGCCATGCAGAGCGCGCCGACGGGCGACGCGACCGTGCACCACCACGCGTACACGGACACGAGCTCCCCGAAGTTCCAGGTGAACATCTGCATGGACGACGTCCCCGACATGACGCCGCCGAAGACGAGCCAGAGGACGATGGCGCCGAAGAGGGGCAGCACGATGCACGCGAGGCACAGGATCGGGAAGCCGCCGAGGCACATCGTCGGCGTGTCGAACGCGTAGGACCCGACGTGCGCGAAGGTCGACAGCGCGATGCCGAAGATGGGCAGCAGCACCCAGAGCCAGGCCGTGCGCGTCATCCAGCCTCTCTGTTTTGTTTTAATATTCCAGCAGTCCTGCTCGTCCGTCATGACGTCGCAGTAGTAGTCCCAGACGGCCTCGTAGTCGTCCTGGTGGCTGTAGATGTAGGCCGCGTCGGGCGACGTCGAGTTCGTGATCATGTCCATGATGATGAAGTAGTCCTCGAGGGTCGGCATCCGGTACTCGGCCTTCCACATGCGGTAGCGCATGTCGAAGCCCGCCAGACCACCGTAGACGCAGGCGATGACGAGGAGCTGGAGCGCCGCGTCCGCGAGCAGCGTGCCGAGCCAGTAGGCGCGGTAGTCGAGGCCCGAGATCGTCAGCAGGTTCCGCACGCGGTTCGCGCGCTCGCTCACCAAGGGCTCCGCGGCGAGGCCCGGCACGAAGATGAACGACACGCCGACGACGGCGGCGACGATCAAATTCGGGATCGTGCTGTAGCGCGGCTGCTTGCCCGTCGCGAGCTCGCCGCCGGCGCAGAGCCCCGCGAGCATGATCGAGACGATCGCCGGCAGGAGCACGAGCGCCGTGCACCGCGCGCCGCCGAGGTGGGGCCCTAAAAATTGGTTCACGGGCCGCGGCCGCCGGTCGCCGCCGAAGACCCGCTCGCGGAACGCGCAGACCATGGCCTCGAGGCCGCGCAGGGGCGCCAACAAGATGACGACGTCGTTCCGCGCGTGCTCGAGGCGCATGCGCGCGATGGCCAGGCTCTGGTCCCAGACCCGGCTCGACGTCCGCGGGCCGCCCGTCGCCGCCGCGCCGCCCGCGGCCGAGGGCAGGGACACGTAGATGGACTCGTCGGGCGCGCCGGCCGCGAGCACGTTGTGCACCGTGTCGTCCTCGCCGACGACCATGAAGACCGTCTCCAGCGTCGTCGGCTCGAGGGCCGTCGACGTGATGGCGAGGCCGTCCAGGTTGCCGTCGATGGCGTCGAAGAGGGCCGCGAGCCGGTGCTCCTCGCTCGCCGGGAGCGCGTAGGTCCGCTCCGTGACCGCGTCCGCGTCGCCGCCGTCGACGAGCGGGTTGTCGACGTCCGGCGCGGCGACGAGCGACTCCTCCTGGAGCGTCGCGCCCGCGACGATGTCGGAGACGAAGCCGCCGAAGTCGGCCGTCGCGGCCCGCTCCTTGAGCGTCGCCGAGAGCAGGTAGCCCTTGCCGAACGTCCGCTTGAGGAACGGCACCGTGCCGCACGTGCGGATCTTGCCCGACGACATGATGGCGACGCGGTCGCCCAGCGCCTCCGCCTCGTCCATGTGGTGCGTCGTCAGCAGCAGCGACCGCCCGACGCGCACGGACCGCAGGAGCGTCCAGAGCTCGCGCCGCGCGACGGGGTCCATGCCCGCCGTCGGCTCGTCGAGGATGATGAAGCGCGACCCGCCGGCGAGGGCGATGGACGTCGACAGCTTGCGCTTCTGGCCGCCGCTGAGCTCCGCGCCGAGGTGCGCCGCGCGCTGACCGAGGTGGAAGACGCCGAGGAGCGACGTCGCCTCGCGCGACGCGTTCGCGACGGACTGGCCCTTGAGCCGCGAGAAGAAGAAGACGTGCTCCGCGAGCGTCAGGCGCGGGAAGAGCACGTCGTGCTGCGGGCAGACGCCCAAAAGGCACCGCAGCGAGTCCATGCCGCCGGCCTCGAAGATGGAGTAGCCGAAGACCGTCGCGCCGTCGGTCGCGCGCCGCGGCGGGTCCGGCGGCAGCAGCCCGGAGATCATGGCCATGGTCGTCGTCTTCCCCGCGCCGTTGTGGCCCAGGAGGCAGAAGATCTCGCTGTCGCGGATGCCGAAGCTCACGCCGTCGACGGCTTTGTGCTCGCCGAACGTCTTCCGGAGCCGCCGCACCTCGACGCGCGGTGCGTCCCCCGGGTCGAGCGCCTCGAAGCGGGCCGGGTCGTCGGCGTCGTCGAAGGCGGCGTCGGCGACGAGGGCCGGCGCGCGCGACGTGCCGAGCCAGTAGCTCGGCAGGAGGGGGAAGTAGAACGGCTTCGGCGTGCCGTACTCCGACCACGGGATGACCTGGTTGAAGTACCACGCGAGGAGGCCGTAGAGCACCATGTCGGCGATGAGCATGCCCCAGAGGGGCCCCGTCCAGTCCGCCGCGGGCCGCCAGCCCTTGAGGTCGCCCGTGGCCTTGGCGTAGAACGACGGGTACTCGCTCCGCGCGTCGACCCAGCACCCGATGTCCTGCGCGCCGTAGTCCGCGAAGTCGCCGTAGGAGTAGGAGTAGGAGTAGGCGTCGCCCCAGGGCACGCCGCCGTTGCAGAAGAGGCTCGTGGACCCGCGGCTCTGGGCCCACTCCTCGAGCTGGCGGAACCGCTTGTTCGGCGCGTCGCGCCAGTCCATCTCCAAATCATAACCGTAGGCGCACTCGTACTCGCCGGACGCGAAGCAGTCGTCGCCAAAGTCGCAGGACCGGTCCCAGGGCGCCGCGGAGCCCGGCGGCGAGATCGCCGCGCGGATCGCGCACTTGCGGACGCGGTGCGACGCGTACGAGTCGACGAGCAGGCCGTAGGCGAGCTGGGGCATGAGCGCGTAGACGCGCTGCCCCGCGGGCGAGATGTCCCAGATCGACGCGGACGACCCGTCCTTGACCGCGCCCACAAAGTAGACGATGACGCCGAGGAGCTGCGCGCAGATCGCGAAGATGGACGCGGCCTCGTTGTTCGTGATGAACGTCGTCGCCCACATGCACTGGACGACGAGCGCGACGACGTACATCCAGTGGAGGGCGAGGATCGTGCCCGCGTAGCCCGGCGTGTGGCCCGCCCTCCGGAAGAGGCCCGGCCCCGCGACGACGCAGACGAGGAGCGCCACGAGGAACCCGGCGACGACGCCCTCGACGAGGAGCACCGCCGCCCAGTAGACCGCCTCCTTGAGGCCCGCCATCTTCATGGCCTCGAGCAGCCGCGCGCTCTTCTCCGCGACGAGGTTCACGATGACGACCTGCATGAGGAATAAGAACGCGAACTGGGCGAGGTAGGTCTCGAGCGTGCCGTGGCTCAGGATGGCGCCGCGGGCGTAGTCGTGGAGCTCGCCGCCCTTGCGGGCCCAGTTGCTGTTCTTCGGGCTCCACTTGGACTGCGGCGAGTAGCCCGTCAGCGCCGTCATAATATATAAGAGCCAGATAAGGACGAACCAGACCGACGGCGCGAGCAGCTGCTTGACGATGGCGGCGCGGTCCCGCGACTTCTCCTTGGACGCCTTCCAGACGAGGAGGCCGAGCTGCGCGAGCGCGGACCGCGGCCGCACCTTGGGCGCGGCCGTCGCGGAGCCCGCGTCCGGGTGCGCGGCGGCGGCGAGGTCGCCGCCGTCGCCCGTCTTCGCCTCCTCGCCCGCGCCGGGCTGCGTGACGACGGCCGCGAGCTCGACGGCGCCGTCGGCGGGCGCGGCCTGCGTCCGCTTCGTCGGCTGCGGCTTGTCGCAGCACTCCGTCTCGCACCAGACGCAGCAGGCGACGCAGCAGAACTTGAACCAGGAGTAGAGCCGGGGGAACGCCGTCGCCGCCGTGTAGCGCAGCTTGTTCAGGGGCGTGAACCAGGGGCAGCACCGGTGGCTCTGGCAGCACGCGAGCACGTAGCCCGCGCAGAAGAAGGGCGTGATGAAGACGAACCAGATGATGGACCGCCAGGTCGTGTAGCCCCACTCCTCCCAGAAGTCGTTCGACGTGAAGCAGGCCGACGGGTAGTAGCGGTCGTAGGTCATGTCGTCGTCCTCCCACTGCGGCCGCCGCTCGTTGCCGCCGCGGTCGCGCACGAAGCCCTCGTGCTGCTGGAACGCGCTGTAGTAGAGCTCGTCGAAGGCGCCCGGGGCCTCGGCGCGGGCCGGGTCGCCCGCGAGCGCCGCGCACGTGAGGTTGCAGCGGTCGAGGCAGCCCCGGTACGTGTCCTCCCCGAGCGCGGCGATGGCGCCGGGGTCGGAGAGCGCCGACCCGCCGTCGCTCCGGACGGGCTCGCCGTCGGCCGTGCCGTTGAGCCAGGTCTGGGACCAGTACATGTAGTGGCGCTCGCGCCAGAAGGCCGACTCGTGGCGCTCGCGGTAGCGCGCGCGCGCGTAGCGCGCGAACTCGCCCGTCGGCGCCAGCACGAGGCAGTAGGACCGGTCGAGCCGCTCGCGGCCCCGCGTGTTGCGCATCTGGAACTTCTCGCCGACCTGCTGGTCCTTCTGCCGCACCCAGAGCGCGCCGGTCGCCTCGTCGCAGCGGAGGTCCGCGCACTTGAAGCCCGACCAGCCGAAGTAGTCCTACAGTTTTGTGATTCACGGCATGTTATTTTCTGGTCTGTTACCTCCTCGTCCTCCTGGCGCCGCCGCCAGAAGTAGGACGACAGGTCCAGGTAGGCGTCGTCCTTGAACCGGCACACCGGATCAGGCTCGGGCTGCGCGGGCGGCGTGTAGATCGGCGCCGTCTGGGCCGCGGCGCGCAGGCACGCGGCGCCGACGGCGACGATTGCGAGGCACCGCGCCATGGCGCGACGCGCGCTGTGAGGTGGAGCTGTGCAAAGAGGGGAGTGGAACGATGGTGGGAGCGGTCGGTTAGAGAATTCAACATAGTTGACTGAATTTGCAGGACCTTCACAGTGCCGCTTGCGTGCAGCGAGGCTGTGGCGACGCTCATCGATGGCAGCCGCCACGCCCAATCGTTGACGGCCGCTCGCGCTGACCGCGGACCACCGGAGTTCGCCGCAGTCGCGCGCATGATGCGCATCGCGCTCGTCGCGCTGGCAGCGGCGCTGGCCGCGCCGCCCGACGACGACGCAGCGGCGCCGCCCGACGGCGACGCCGCCGGCGTCGACTGGCAGCGGCGGCGCGTCGTGCGCGTCTTCGCGAGCCCCTTCGCCGGGTCGAACGAGGCGCCGGCCTACGCCATGACGGACGCGCTGGGCCGCGGCTACACCTGCGGCCTCGACGGCGCGGCCGTCGCGAAGCGGCGGGGCGCGGGCGCGGCGCCGTCGGCGGCCGCGTCCGCGATCGAGGGCTACAAGGCCTGGCGCGACTCGTCGCGCGAGTGCGCGGCGCTGGCGCTGAAGGAGGAGTACTGGCACTACGAGCTCTGCCCCGGCCGGTCCGCGCGGCAGTTCAAGCCGCCGAAGCCGCGGCCGCGCGGCGGCGCCGCCGCGCCCGGCGCGAGCCACGCGCTGGGCGCGTTCTCGTCCGCCGCGGGCGAGGCGTCGCTGGAGGAGGTCGCGGACGTCTTCGGCGACGTCGCGTCCGTGACGCTGCCGCCGGCCGTCGACGGCGCGCCGCCGCGGACGGCGCACGTCGAGCTCTACGAGCGCGGCGACGGCGGCCGGCGCCTGCTCGCGTACGTCGTCTGCGGGCTCGTGCACGTCGGCGCGGCGTCGAGCCGCCGCGGGTCCCTGGACGCCTACGGCGACGACGACGACGCGGACTGGGCCGACGCCGTGCGCGTCGCGCGCGTCGTCGAGGGCCCGCAGTTCACGTACCGCGCGCTCGTCGCGTCGCCCTTGGCCTGCGCGCCGCGGGACCTGCGCACCGCCGTCGCGGCCCAGGCCGCGGCGAAGCTCGAGGGCAAGTGCCTGCGGCGGCGCTGGCGCGGCGACTGGTGGACCTACGAGGTCTGCGTCGGCGACGCCGTGCGCCAGTTCCGCCAGCCGCCCGGCCGCGACCACGACGGCTTCGGCGTCCTGCCGGCGGCGGACGCGGCCGCGAGCCGGGACCCGGGGGGCTTCGCCATCGGCGCCTTCTCGCACGTCGCCGTGGCGCCGGCGACGGGCGCGCTGAGCCACGTCTTCACAGGAGGAGACGCGTGCGACGTGACGGACGGCGAGCCGCGCGACGCGGCGGTCCGCTTCGCGTGCGTCGACGCGTTCCGCGGCCGGTCGAAGAAGGTCGCCCTCGCGAGCGCCGCGGAGACGGCGACGTGCTCCTACGACATCGTCGTCCACCTCGCCGCGCTCTGCGAGCTCGACGACGACGCGGACCTCCACGAGAAGCGCGCCGCGGGCACGTCGACGATCGACCACGTCGACTGCTTCCGCGACGCGGACGGAGAGGCGGGTAACGTGTAGCTAGGGGACGTCGCGCGCGGAGCGCCAGAACGCGAGGACGCGCCAGAAGACCTCCTTGGGCAGCGCGGTGCGCGCGAGGCGCCGCGCGCGCCGCACGGTCCGCGTGTTCGGCGCGGCCGCGGGCGGCGGCGCCGGTGCGAAGAGGCGCTCGAGGATCGTGCCCGCCTAGCAAGCATGACGGTGACGATTTCTCATTGGTTTCCCACCCCAAATCTCTCGAAAATCGTCACGGCCACAGGACGCTGGTGCCCGCCGGCGCGATCGCCCGGCCCTCCTCGCAAAAGAGGCGGTACGCGAGCAGGCGGACGCGCGGCGCGCGCACGTACGCGCGCCAGCCGCCCGCCGCGCGGACGTCGGCGAGGACCGCGACCGCGCGAGCGTGCTTGCTCTGGCTGTTTATGCTGGTGTGGAAGCGCGCGATGCGCTCGGCGTAGTGCGTCTCGTCTATGTTGTCGCATTTGGCGTCGAGCGCCGCGCCGCGGCTGAGGAGCAGGCGGATCATGTCGACGTGTCCTCTATCGGCGGCGCTCATGAGCGGCGTCCAGCCCTGTCTGTCGCGGGGATCGACGTCCGCGCCGGCGTCGAGGAGCAGGACCGCGACATCGCGCCTGCCAAAAGTGGCGGCTAATTTGAGGGGCGTCATCGTAACTCCAGGCTTATTTGGGTCCGCGCCTTGTGCGAGGAGGAACCGCACCACCTCCCAGTGACTGTTGTGAGTCGCTGTGTACAGGAGCGACCGTCCGTCCTCGTCCTCCTCGTCGGGGTCACGGCGGTCCGAGAACCAGAACCAGCGCTCGATTTCGAGGAGGTCACCATCTTGCGCAGCCCTCTTGACCTCTCGGGGGACGACCATTGCAGCGCGGATGCGGCAGCTGCACGGCAACGCAGACTTTTGGGCAGCCTTGCGAGTAGCTCGCTATGGAGCGTCGAGCCTGAGGTTCGAGAGAGCGCAGCCCCCTGGACGAGAAATAACGCACCCATGGAGAGCCCCGTCGCCACGAAGAAGAAGGAGCGGCCGCCGCACGTCGGCGACAACATCGTCGAGTTCGACGTGATCAAGGAGCAGGCGCAGGCGCGCGCGCTGCGTCCCGCGCGATTCGAAACGGTCGTTCATGTCGCGCCGCGGTCGACGCGTCCGCGCGTCCGCAGGCGGCGATGGAGCAGGCCTGCGCGAAGACGCTCGACGGCAAGCTCTACGACGCGAAATACCACGCGCGATGGACCGACGCGATCCTCGACTCGATGAACGACGCGCTCGCCGCGCTGTCGCCGAACTTCAAGTTCATGTGCTCCTGCCTCCTCATCCAGAAGCGCAGCCCGAGCAACATCGCCACGGAGACCGTCGCCTACTGGAACGCGAAGACCGACGGCTTCGTCCACCACAAGTACGAGAGCCGGACCGTCGTCTGCGTCGTCCACGCGTTCGGCTGCGCGATCTAGGTTCGGGTGCGCGCGGATTTCTTATGGTCGTGTGTGGTTGGGTGCGGGTTCGGGGGGGGGGGCGTTGGAGCTTTGGGAGCTCTCCGGAGCGCGTCGTCTACGGCAACTTTAACAGCACCTTCGTGTTGAACCATCCGGAGCTCGAGTCGAGCTCGAGGCTGTGCTCGAGTGCACCGCCGCGAGCACGAGCGCCGACCTGCTGCCGCCGCGCACTGCTGCCCAGCGCACGCGGCCGCGAGCGCCTGCACCGCCGCGCAACGACCATGCGCGTCCTCTTCCCGCCCATCGCCCTGACCGTCTTCTCCTCGAACAAACTCGGCCTGTCGCCGCCCGCCGCGCCGGCGCCGCCGACGCCGGCGACGGCGCCGCCGGCGCCGCCGACGCCGGCCCTCACCGACGAGGAGATCGAGCGCTACTCGCGCCACCTCATCCTCGAGGACGTGGGCATGCGGGGCCAGGCGCGGCTCAAGGCCGGCTCCGTCTGCTGCGTCGGCGCGGGCGGTCTCGGGTCGCCCGCGCTCATGTACCTCGCCGCGGCGGGCGTCGGGAAGCTGACCATCGTCGACGACGACGAGGTCGACGTGTCGAACCTCCAGCGGCAGATCGTGCACGCGAGCGGCGCCGTGGGCGTCCCCAAGGCCGCGTCGGCGGCGGAGACGTTGGCGCGCGTGAACCCGCTCGTCGAGGTGAAGCAGGTCCGCGAGCGGCTCACGGAGGCCAACGCGGACGCCATCCTGCGGGGCCACGACGTCGTCCTCGACGGCTGCGACAACTTCCCGACCAAGTACCTCATCGACGACGCGTGCGGCCGTTTAGGCATCCCGTCGGTCTACGCGGCGATCCTTCGCTTCGAGGGCCAGGCGTCCGTGTTCCACCACGGCCCCGGCTGCGCGACGTACCGCGATTTGTTGCCGGAGGCGCCCGCGGCGGGCGCCGTGCCGAGCTGCGCCGAGGGCGGCGTGCTCGGCGTGCTGCCGGGCGTGCTGGGCTGCATCCAGGCCACCGAGGCGCTGAAGATTATTCTGGGCGCGCGGCCGGAGCGGACGCTCGCGAACCGGCTGCTGGTCTACGACGCCATGCGCATGACCTTCCGCGAGCGGCCGCTCCGCAAGGCCGCGGCGCCGCCGGCCGCCGCCGCGGCGCCCGCGGCGCCCGCGGCCGCGGCGCCGGCGGCCGCGGCCGCGGCGGTCCTCGCGCCGCGCGCCGCCGCGGAGAAGCTCGCGGGCGGCTGGGCGCCCTTCGTGCTCGACGTGCGCCTGCCCCAGGAGGCGGAGATCTGCCAGCTGCCCTTCGCCGACGCGCTCGTGCCCCACCGCAACGTCAAGGCCGCCGCGGGCGACCTGCCCCGGGACCGCGACATCCTCGTCCACTGCAAGTCGGGCTTCCGGTCCCGGCAGGCGTGCGCGGACCTCGCGGGCCTCGGCTTCGACCGCCTCTTCGACATGGAGGGCGGCATCCTCGCCTGGGGGCGCGACGTCGACCCGCGCCTCCCGAAGTATTAGCGCGCGGAGAGCTTGTTTCGCGCGTCGCGCGCGGGCCGTCGCCGCCTTGGGGGGTGGCGTCCCCGCCGACGGTCGGCATGGAGGCTTCGCGATGGGGCTGGCGCGCGGCGACGGCGCAGTCGCGGTCGGATCGTCGATGACGCGCTCGGGCCGAGTCGTGGCGGCGTACGGCTCACGACGCCAGCGGTCGTCTTCAGCGAGGTGTCGCCTCGGGTCGAGGGACGGAGCTTCGATCGACACCGAGGTGCAATGCGCGGCGAGACGTTGCGCGTCGTCGCGCCGCTGTGCGTCGCGCTCCTCGCGCACGCGTTCGCGCCGATCCCGCGGCCGCCCGCGGTCGCGCCCGGTGCGCGGCGGGCGCCCGTGGTCCGGTCGAGCGACGGCGAGCGCTCGCTCTTCGACCGCAGCGACAACGGGACGCGCGACGACGAGTTCGACCTGCAGCCGCGGAGCGAGCTCGCTAGGAGCGGCGGCCCAAGCCGCGACGACGGCAACGAGACGAACCGCTACTACAAGATCGTCGCGAGCCTCGCGCCGTCGGACATCATCGGCCGCTTCGCCGCGACGGCGCCGCCGCGCGTGCAGGACGCGGTGAAGCAGACGATCATGGGCCTGCTGGGCAACGCGGGGGGCTTCGCGCTGGAGACGGCGACGATCACGACGAGCGAGAAGCTCGCGAACCTCATGTTCCAGCTGCAGATGACGGGCTACATGTTCAAGAACGCCGAGTACCGCGTGTCGCTGTCGCAGTCGCTCGCGGACGTGCCGGCCCTGCCGCCCGGCGACCTCGAGGAGGACGCGCCGGACGCGTCGGCCCCGCCGCCGGTCCAGGGCACCGTGACCGTGAAGCTCGGCGTCGAGGAGGTCCGCGTCGACGCGGACGCGTACATGGCCGAGCTCCGGGACGAGGTCGCGACGCTCCGCCGGGAGCTCGACGAGGTCGAGGAGGAGCGGCGCCTCGCGTCCCAGAAGGACCTCCTCGCCTACATCCGCGCGCTGCCCGAGCAGCAGATGGCGTCGATGACGTCCGAGATCACCGACGACGTCCTCGACGGCATGAAGAAGCTCGTCTACTCCATCATGAAGGGCATGGGCACGTCCAACGTCGAGGCGAACACGCTCCTCCAGCAGTCCGGCTCCGCCATGGCCCAGCTCTGCATGTGGCAGCTCGTCATCGGCTACAACCTCCGCGAGCTCGAGGTCCGCGACCAGCTCCAGAAGCAGCTCGGCGTCGACGACGACGGCGACGGCGGCGACGCGTAGCGCGCGCCCGCATCCCCCCCTTCTGTACACCTAACTCCGCGCCTCTTCGCTGTTCCCGGGACTTCAACGAGGGCAACTTGCGCTCCTGAATTCTGCCACTGGCGAAGTGAACAAGCGCATCGCACCGACGCAGCTCGTCGCGGCATCGCACCGACGCAGCTCTCGTCGTCGGCAACCATGGACGAGGCGGCCTACGCGCGCCTGGAGACGGCGGACGCGTCGTTGAACGAGGCGCCGTCGAAGGGCGAGGTGGGCCAGTTCGCGGCGACGGCGAACATCGCGAACGTCGTCATCGGCGCCGGCGTGCTCGCGCTGCCCTTCGCCTACGCGCGGAGCGGCACGGCCGGCGGCCCCTTCCTCGTCCTCTTCAGCGGGCTCCTCAACATCTTCACGATGCACCTGCTCTCCAAGGCCGGGCGCCGCATCTCCGGCGACCGCGCGAACTTCCACGCGATCGCCGGCGCGACGTTGCCCAAGTCGCTCTGGTGGCTCGTCGACGGCATCGTCTGCGTCATGATGCTGGGCCTCGCCGCGTCCTACGTCATCGTCTTCGGGAACCTGTGCTCCGTGGCGACGTCGGCCATGCTCGACGGCGCGCCCGAGGCCGTCGGAGCGATCTTCGGGAGCCGCGAGAGCTGGGTGACCGTCGCGATATTCGTCGTCGCGCCCATGGCCTACCAGAAGTCGCTGGACCTGCTCAAGTACACGTCGACGCTCGGCCTCGTCTTCATGCTCTACGTCGCGGCGCTCGTCGCCGCGGGCTGGGCGGACAAGGCGAGCGTCGCGCCGTGTCTCGACGACGCCGAGGAGCCCGAGGCGCACTGCGGCGGCGCGGTGAAGCCCCTCGTCGTGAACCTGGGCACGCTGGAGGCGTTAGCCTTGTCGACCTTCTCCTACACGGCGCAGACCCAGGTGCCCGACGTCGCGAACGCGCTCCGCAGGGCAGGAAAAGAGAGCGAAATTCCCAACTTCAAAGGCTCCTATCTCGGTCATTTTCCACTCGTTTTGGCTGACTTTTGGACGAGCGATCATCTCTCGGAACGGTGTCGAAGCATGGATGCTTTTTCCGGAACGCGCGCGCGCGGAACACTCATGTTGAAGCGAACTTGAATCACTCTTGTCCTGCCCAGGCGCTCCGCGACTACACGCAGGCGCGCATGGACGCGTGCATCGTCGCGTCCGTGGCCATCTGCGGCGCGCTCTACTGCCTCATCGGCCACGCGGGCTTCGAGACCTTCGGCCAGGCCGTGAACTCGGACCTGCTGGAGTCGTACCGCGCGTCGCCGGAGATCTCGGTCGCGCGCTTCGCGATCTCGTTCGTCGTCGCGTTCTCGTACCCGTTGATGTGCATGCCCTTCCGCAACTCGAGCCGCTCCCTGCTGGAGAACCAGACACGATGGCCACGCGTCGCGGCCTACGTCGCCGAGCACCCGAGCCGCTACCACTACGCCGCGTCGTCGTTCTTCATCGCGTTCACCTACGTCGTCGCGCTCTTCGTCTCCGACCTCGGCGTCATCCTGTCCCTCATCGGCGCGACGGCGGCGACGGCCATCGCCTACATCATCCCCTGCACGGCCTACGTCAAGACCTTCGCCGACGACCCGTCCACGGCGCGCACGCGGCTCCTCGCCAAGGTCGTCGGCGCCTACGGCGTCGTCGTCATGCCCTTCTGCGTCGCGTCGACCTTCATCAAGACCTGAGGGGCCCTATTTTACATTTCCGAGTCGCATCCTAGTACGCGACCTGGAAGCGCATGCCCGGCGCGAGGCCCGCGGGGATGGCGACCTGGACCGTCGTGCCCTCGGGCGTCGTGGCCTGGAGCGTCATCCCCGGCTGCGCGCCGGGCGGCACCTCGAGCGCCATGAAGCGCTGCGTCTGCGTGATCGTCGCGGGCTCCTCGCCGACGATGGAGAGCTGCGACGGCGCCGGGGAGTAGAGGGCCGCCGCGGACGCGGCCGGCGACGCGGGCGGCGCCGCGCCGCCGGCGAGCCAGCCCTTGATGGCCTCGAAGGACGGCCGCGCGGCCGGGTCGTGGGACCAGCACCGCTCCATGAGGCCGACGAGGTCCGGCGGCGCGCCCGCGGGCGGCGGCGGCCGCTTCCTCTGGACCATGACCTGCATGCCGACCTGCATCGGGTTCAGCCCTGCCCAGGGCACGCCGCCGTCGAGCACCTCCCAGACGATCATCGAGAAGGCGTAGACGTCTGTCTTCTCCGTGAACGTGTTCGACTCGAGGAGCTCCGGCGCCATGTAGGCCGGCGTGCCCTTGGCCGACCCCGAGGCGGCCGTCGCCTGCGTCGCCGCCGTGTTGAGGTCGTCGGACTTGGAGAGCCCGAAGTCCGTGACCTTGCAGCGGCGGTTGCCGTCGAGGAGCACGTTCAGCGTCTTCAGGTCCCGGTGTTCGACGCCCTTGGAGTAGAGGTACTGCATGCCCAGGGCGACGTCGCCGAGCCAGCGGCGCCGCTGCGCCTCGTCGACGGCCGCGGCGTAGTCCTCGGCGTCGATGGCCGTGCGCAGGTCGCCGCCCTCGAGGAACTCGACGACGAAGCCCAGGAACGACGGGTCCGTCGTCACGACCCCGAAGACCTGGACGACGCGCGGGCTCCGCAGCTTGACCATGATCGCGAGCTCCGTGGAGAAGTCCCGGAGCATCTTCGCGCGCTTCGGCGCCGTGACGCCGACCATGGACATGCGCTTCAGCGCGACGACGTCGCCCTGGAACTCCGCGCGGTGCACCGTGCCCTGGCCGCCGCGCGCGAAGGGCTCGGGCTCGCACGAGTCGAGGACGACCTCGTAGGCCTCGAGCGCGCGCTCCTTGTCCTGGCGCGCGAGCGCCTTGCCCTTGGCGGACTCGTTCTTGGCCAGCGTCGCCTGCTTGAGCTCCTCGATGGCCGCGCTCTGCTGCGCGTTCTGGCTGATGACGATGCCCACGCCCTCCGTGAGCTTGTCGAGCTTGAGCCCGAGCTCCGAGAGCTCCTCCTTTTCCACGGCCGACCCCCGCTCGATGCCGCACATGAGCGCCGCGCGCTGCGCGGCCGCCTGGTTGTTCGCGTCGACGGCCTGCTGGCCCAGAAGCTGGATGAGGCCCTCGATCTTCTGGAACCGCTGCGTCTGGAGCGCGAGCTGCTGGAGGTCGAGCGCGGACCCGAGCTCGCCGCTCAGCTCGCAGAGCCGCTTGTCGAGGAGCATGAACGTGCGCGCGTCGAGCGTGCCCGAGCAGAGCTTCGAGAAGGCGCCCTTCTTCGCGAACTTGGCCAGGAACGCCGACGCGTCCTGGAGCGCCCTGCCCAGCGCGTCGACGGTCCGCGACACGGCCTCGACGCGGCCCGTCGGCAGGCCCGCCGTCGCCTTGACGACGTCGTCGAGCTTCTGCGCGATCTCGAAGCCCCGCTGGCGCAGCAGCTGGGCGTCCTCCTTGTTGAAGCGCACCTCGCGCGCGGCGACGGCGAGCTGCGCGAGCGCCTGCGTGAACGGGTAGAGGCAGCAGTTCAGCGGCGGCGGCGCGACGGCGCCGAGGCCCGTCAGCATGCCCGCGAGCGGGCCGAGCACGTCCGTCTCCGTCGCGCTGAGCGTGAACGCGGCGCCCGCGGCCGCGGACGCCGCGAGCGTCGTCTTCGCCGGCGGCGCCGCGGCGGGCGGCGGCGCGGCCTTGGCCGGCGCGGCGGACGTCGGCACGACCTTGCTGTCGGGCCGCTGCTTCTTCTTCTTCCTGCGGTAGCAGTAGTAGCCGACGCCGGCGAGGGGGACGACGGCGAGGCCCGCGAGCGCCGCGCCGCCGCCGCCGCCGCCGCCGCCGCCGCCGCCGCCGGACGAGGCCGGGGGGGCGATCGTCGGGCTCGGCGTCGGACGCGGCGTCGGGTCGGGCGCCGGCGTCGGGGCCGGCGTGAACACCGTCGCCGCGGGCGGCGCGACGGCCTCGACGGTCGCCGCGGCGAAGACGGCGGAGACGCCCGCGTCGACCGCGGCGCTCTGGACGGCCGCGAGGAAGTCCGTGGACGTGGCGGCCGACCCCGCGACGGCGGCGGCCGACGCCTCGGCCGCCGAGTCGTAGGAGATGTAGTAGGAGACGACGAAGCTCGAGTCGAGGCGCCGGCGAGTGGACGCGTCCTCGAACCCGACGGAGACGGCGGACGCGTCGACGCCGTAGACGTCGGCGACGGCGGCGACGTAGACCTCGACGTTGGCCTCGGCCTCGGCCCTGGTCATGCCCGACACGTCCAGCGTGCCCTCGAGCGCGGCCGGCGTGGGCGTCGGGTCGAGCGTCGGCCGCCGCGTCGGGTCCGGGACCGGCCGCGGCGTCGGGCCCGGGACGGGCCGCGCCGTCGGGTTCGGGCTGGCGGCGTCGTCGAGGGGGCACGCGCAGCCGCTGCAGTCGAGGCCCTGCGACACGGCAAAATCGCAGGTGAGATCCCACCATAAAGACGCTTGGTCGCAGGTGTAAGCCATCCCCGATGTGTGCTCGTTCGCCGGGTAGAAGTGGTCGCAGCCGCCGTCGCTCCCGCCGTCGCTCGTCGCGTAGGTGGCGTCGCAGTCGACGTCGCATTCGCTGTATAAAGTGCCCCGCCAGTTGCGCGCGAGGCACTCGAAGTACTTGTCGCTGTGCTCCGCGCAGACCGTGCCGCAGCCGAAGCTCTCCACGAACCCTGTCTGGTGGCTGTCCGCGCACACCGCCTGGAGCCCCTCGTTCCACCAGTTGTAGTCGCAGCCGGGCGCCCCGAAGTATTGCTCGTCGGCCGCGAAGTAGTAGATCAAGCTATAGTAGCCCGCATCCATGCGCTCTTCGCACGTCATGTAGTATTCGCTGCCGTACTGGGCCGCGCCCGCATCGGCGTCCCAGGGCCACTGGGAGCAGCACTCGCAGTAGTCCGTCTTGTAGGGCTCGCAGTCCTCCTCGACGAGCTGCACCGCGCACGCGCAGCCGGAGCAGTCGAAGACCGGGTCGTACTCCATGACGCTGCAGGAGTAAAGGGGTTCGAGCTCGTCGCAGCTGTACATGTTCCCGTCCCACGCGAGCTCGTACATGCCGCAGGTGGCGTCCTCGTTCTCACAGCAGTGCTCGCCGAAGTGGTCGCAGTCGCAATCGCCACAGGCCGGGTAGCCGCAATCGCCGCAGTTGCAGTTGTCCGGCAGGTCAGGATCGGCTTCGCAGAAGCTCCGGTCGATGGGACACTCCTCGTCCCCGTGGTCGTGCCCGCTGCCGTAGTCCCAGTCGAAGTAGGAGCAGTCGGCCTTGTCCGCCGTCTCCAGCGAGTGGTCGCACCCCGCCGCGCAGCCGCAGCACGTGAGGCCGTCGCCGTCGAGGTCGAACACGAAGCTCGGAGGGACGTATGTGTAGCCGGCGTCGACGCAGGCCTCCTCCGCGACGTCGCAGACGAAGAACGTGGACGAGTCCGTGCACGCGCCGTCGGAGCCGTCGCAGAAGTCCGAGTGGTGCCAGTCCGCCTCGAAGCTGCCGTGGGCCTCGTTGATCTGGAGGCACACGTCGACGCCGAACTCGAAGGGCGCGGCCCACCACTCCCGGCGGACGCCGTTCGTGAAGACGCCGTCGACGTAGATCGACGCGACGTACTCGTCGTTGTTCGAATTGAAGGCGACGGCGACGACGGCGCCGTAGAAGCTCTTGCCCGCCGCGTCCTCGGGCCAGACCTCGGCGCAGAGGCCATTGTCGCGATTTTCGGTGAGCTCCTGGTTGACGCAGACGTGGGCCCCCTGGTCGCCGACGGTCGGCGTGAACCACGCGAGCTCGTACATGGCGTCGGTGATGCGCCAGACGTCGTCTGCGACGCCGTCGCCCATGCGCACGCGGACCGTCGCGCCGTCCCACGAGAGCCCCGCGTCCGCGCACGCGCCGAGGCCGCAGGCCTGGCCCGCCTTGGCCTCGCAGTCGTAGTCGCAGAAGCACGCGTCGCTGCTCGCCATGGCGGCGACCGTGATCGGCCCGCGCGTCACGAAGTCGACCGCGGCCTCGTTGAACTCCAGGCGGTAGGGCGCGGAGAAGTCGAAGCCCGTGTTCGCCCGGAACTCGGCGACCGTGTATCCCGCGTAGCGCGCGTCGCCGTTGGTGTTGATGACGAACGCGGGGTCCGCGTCGTCGAAGCCGAAGACCAGGTAGACGATGTCGTCCTCCGTGAGGAGCGCGTCCTTGTCGTCGCTCCAGGCCACGCACCTGCCCGATGACGCGTCGTCGCTCATGACGGAGTTGAGGCAGAAGTGGCTCGGCCCGTGCTCCTGGCCGCCGTAGAGCGTGAACCAGCCCAGGAGCATGTCCGTGGACGCGTCTCGGATGCGGAAGAGATTGAGCTCGTTCCCGTCCTCGTTGACGCCGAAGAAGAGCCAGTTGTTCGGGAGGTAGAATTCCTCCGACGCGTACTCTAAGTTCCGCATGGCCCAGCCGATGTCGCACAGCGGCGCCGGGTTCGTCGGCGGGTCGTACGAGAACGAATAAGAGTAAGAGTCGAGGTCGCTACTCGACTCCTCCAGGGCCCGCGCGGGGCGCGACGGCGAGAAGGGCGAGAAGGGCGCCGCCGCCGCGGCGCCGGCGACGACCATCCAGGGCAGCGCGCGCATGATCGGTTTTATGGGACCATCATTGTGCGCGGCGGCGGCGCCGGCGACGACCATCCAGGGCAGCGCGCGCATGATTGGTTCTTTGGGGATTGGGGCTGCGCCGCGGTCGATGGAGACCCGGGAGAGCCACCCGACGTCCGCCGAGAGCGCGTCGGTCGCGCTGGTACGAGCGTTTCGAACGCGCTAGTGATCGAGGACCATCATGAGCGTTGCCCGGGAAGGATCGATCGGCCGACGGAGCAGGGCAGGTTGAAGCGACGCCATCTCGCTGCCGCAGTGCTTGCCCGCCGTCGGCACCGGCGTGATGCCGTCGTTCCTCGAGACGAACCTCACGAGGCTCGCAGAGCTACGCATCACGATGGGGGCCATCGGGCTGGAACTCACAGTTCGACGGGGCATGATCCTCTGGGTGCATCGCGAGCTCGGGGCGCTCGCCGACGACGCCCATGCCGCGGCTAACGAGCACCTACGACACCCATCGGGACGTCCCTACGACACTCATGAGTCGTGGGTGACATACGACGACATGTCCTGGGTCGGCACCGGATTCGCACAGCAGGCGGTCCGGTGGCTCGGCTCGGGGCCGTCGGGAGGGTCCCGCGCCGCGTGGCTCACGTCGTGCGCCGAGATCGTGAAGAGCCAGAAGAACTTTCACGCATTTATGCGCACGTTCGGGCCGCAGCGGTGTCTATCCGTTTTCCAAGACGCGATGCATGCCTACGACGAGTTGGAGGGGGACTTCCTCCGCGCTCAGCCGGAATGGGGCCCGGGCCGCACGGTGACGGGCGCGGGCTTCCACTTCGAGAAGCCGGGCTTCCTGGACAGCCTGCTGTCCCACCATGCCGATCTCGCCCCGTCCTGGAGTGTGAAAGATTGCAGGCAATTCCGCATGCTCGACGTGGGCGGCATCGCGGGCAATGACGCCGAGGACGAGGACGACGAGGACGAGGACGACGCGCGGGACGCCGAGGACGACGAGGACGACGACGCGCGCGACGCCCACGAGGACGACGAGGACGACGAGGACTACGAGGAGGGCGCCGCCGCCGCCAGGAAGCGCCGCCGCGGCCGCTCCGCGGGCTCTCCGGAGCCCGCGTCGAAGCGGCCCCGCGCGGACGCCGCGGCCGCTCCGTGGTGGCAGCGCCGCCGCCTCTGGAGCGGCGGCGACGTCCTGTTCCTCGGCAGCACCGTCGCACTGGGGTGCCTGGTCTTCTTCGGCTAAGAATATAAGAGCACAGATCCCGACTCTCCGAAAGTGCCTCGTCGACATGGTCGCCGATGCCGGAGATGGAGCCGCTCCCGTAGCTCATGCGTCGCTCGCCACGGCGTGCCACGTCGTTCAAGCCGGACGCCTCGCTTGCAAGCGCGCTCAGAAGCGCCGCAAACTGCACACATTATCGACCCCAGGCCGAGCGAAGCCGAGGTTGCAGTCTACTATCGTCCCTGCGCAATGGCCCGCACTGTTCTCGCTCTCGTCGCCCTCGCCGCCCTCGGCGCCGCCGTCGGGGCTCAAGTCTGCGACGACATGCTCAAATGCGATCACGTCCACTCGGGCGGCAGCCGGGCGAGCGTCGCGGCCAACAAGGAGTGCAAGAAGCAGGCCGAAAAGGTCTGCCTCGCTGAGGCCAAGCAGAACCGCCTCGACTGCATCGAAGCCTGCGAGGAGGAGTTCGAGGCGGTGCGCGAGCAGTGCCGCATCGAGTGCAACGATGTCGCCAACGCCGGCACGGGCGGCTTCTTCTCGCGCGTCTTCCCCTCGCGCGTGCAGATCGCAGGGGCCGCGTTGCACCCCAGCCTCTGGTGCATCCTCGCCGGCGCCGTCCTGCGCCTCTACGCGCTTGTCCTCCACTGGGGGGCGTTGGCCGCGCAGATCCAGTTCTACGCCGGGTCGCTCATGCTCCTCGGCGCGGTCCTCGCGGGCTTCGAGGCCGCCCAGGGCAACCCCCTCTGGGGCTGATCGCCGCGCCCCGAAGCACAAGCACGCGCCGCCCTCCGCCCGCGCCCCACACTCCCAACAAGCAGGGACTCGCGCCATAGGAGCGGCTTAGGGCCTAAGATCCCTAGACGCGCGCGTCGAGCTCTCGACGAAGCTCCGTGGGCCTTTGGAAAGGGGGGTCCGCGGGCGACTTCGGCGACTCGTCGACGCGTCGATTCGCGCGCCTCGTCGCCTCCAGCACGGAGGACGAGGGCGCCGCGGCGAAGCTCGCGTGCGGTGCGACGACGCGCGCGCGGCGTCGAGCTCTCGCCGAGCGACCAGACGCGACGCCGTCGAGGCGCTCGGCGCGCGGAACGCGGACACGTCCACGACGACGCGCCGTCCTGCGACGCGCAGCCGCACGTCCAACAGCGACCGCGGCTGGGCGCGCGGCGCCGCAGCTCGACCCGCCCCTCCCCGACGCTCGTCCCAAAAGCTTCGATCGTTCGACGCGCTCGCTCCACCTCTCGCGGCGCGCGGTCCGCGGTCGTCGACGCCCGTCGTCGAGAACCCGCCAGGCGCTACAGTCGCGTTCCGTAGCTCGGAGAGCCGCTGCGACGACAGCGCCGCGCCGCTCGTGTATGAACTCGTCGACGCACGCCTTGGAGCTCTCCAGGCGCCGCTGCCGTCGCAGTACAAATTGCGCCGACGAGACACTCCGGTGCGGCGCCGCCACGCAACATCGCGCATCTTTTCGACGGCGCACGCGAACCGCGTGCCGCGGGCTCGGGCGCTCTGGCGTCTGTGCGCAGCGCCGCTCGATGCGGCAGCTAGCACTCGCTCCGAGAGTAATTATCGAGGGATCTAGGCAGGACAACCTCGATTCACTCTCCGCAAATTGAAGTGCCGTATTAAACGACGTCTGGGCAGCGCCTTGCCCGTGCTCGTCGTGCGGAACAGGCTGGGCACGAGCACTCTCAACAATTCACGAGCCAGGGCCCGGGGCGCAGCGACGCCCACCGGCACCCAGACGTGGAAGTGCAGGCGGCGCCGAACTCGATGGCCGGGCACGAGCTTTGCCTCCGGCGTCGACGGTCGACGGCTTGCGCTGGACTCGACCACGCTCGCGGCGCCGGCTTACGGCCACGCTCGCGGCGTCGGCTTACGGCCACGCTCGCGGCGCCGGCCGGGGGCCGCTTCGAGGGACGCGAGAGCTTGGCGGCTGCTCTCGGGCGCGATCCGCGCGCCGGACGACTTCGCGCCCTTCGACGGCGGCGCGACGCCGGCGCGCGCGCGAAGGTCTTGGACGCAGCGGCGTCGCGCTGCCTCGACCGCCGGGGCCCGGCGTGGATCACAGAGCACGAAATCCACGAGACGCACGCAACGCCGCTCGCGCCGCGACGGTTTCGGAAGGGCGTCCTCTCCGACGACGTCGTCGTGCTCGCGGTGCCGCAGCTCAAGGCCGCGCTCGAGCACCGCGGCCTCGACGCCTCGGGCCTCTGGGGCGTGCTCTTCGAGCAGCTCGTCGCCGCCGTCGAGGGCGGCCGCTCCGCGGCGCCGACGGACGTGCGGCGCCGGCGACGCGCTGCGCGCGGACCTCGGCCTGCTCGCGGTGCCGCAGCTCGAGGCCGCGCTCGATGGGACGAATACACTTATGATGATTGGCACCCAAGCACCATGGTTCCTATAAGGGCAGGAGGTGCCGCCGGTTGATCACGAGGTAGGCGACGGCGCCGACGTAGAAGATCACGTCGCCTGGGCTCCAGAGGCGCCGCTTCATGAAGCGGCACGTGGGCTCGGGCGCGGACGGGGCCGCAGGCTCGGACCGGGGGCGCTTCCGGGGGCACAGACCGGGGGCACAGAGTCTCGGATTGACCGTACTCGCGAGCTCGCTGTTGATGTACTCGAGCAACTTGGTCAAGCTCATATGACCAAGCTTGGCCATGTGGAAGGCGACGAAGTCCGTGAAGAAGTTTTCTCGTTCGAAGTAGAAGAGGTCGTCCGCCGGGGAGGAGCGGAAGTCCGGGTGATGCGCGAGGAACTCGACCTCCAGCGGGTAGTAGATCCGCATGCATTTTTGCGCGGTCGCTTGCAGCAACTTACCCGGCGACTCGTCGTAGCGTCCCGGTGACTGGAGCTGGAGCTCTCCCATCGCCTCGTTCGCGTACGCTACTATTGCTTTGTAAGATGTGACCCGCGCGGCGCAGGCCGCGAGCCATGCCTCCTGGCCGCGCGCCGAGGACGCCGCCGCGCCCTGAGGCTCGCCGAAGAACCGCAGCGCCGGCGCCTCGAAGGCGGACCCGACCCAGGTCACGTTACTGATGTAGTTTCGGACACTGTTGGGTTGCCCTGATGCTGCACGGTGCGCGTTCGTCGTCGCCGATCGCAGTCCTTGAAGCTCATGAGCGAAGCGAATGACGCTTGCAACGCGGGCGACGTATTCGAGGCAGCACCGTTGCTCCTCGTGATCCAGCGCATGCAGATGCACGAGAGCGGCCGCCAGCATCGCGGAGAGACGGAGCACAGTGCGCGCCGAGCACGCGAGTGCGTCGCAACAAGGCGTGCGTCGATGAGGCAGTCACTTCAATTGTACTTCAATGTAAGCGGCGTTTCTTGCGTGGATGCGCCTGGCCTCGAACGCTCGCGGATCCTCCCGGGCTGCCGTCGGGCCGAACGACCGCGGCGCAGCGAACGGCTTGAGCGCGACGCGCGAGTAGTTCGATCCGATGGCGGGATTCACGCCCGCCGAGCGGCAGCGGCAGCGCCTGCAAAAGAAGCTCGCGGCGAAGGCGCAGAAGGCGCCGGCGCCGGCGTCGTCGCCGTCGTCCGTGGCCCAGGCGCTCGCCGTCGCCGAGGGCGGCGGCGAGGCGCCGGCGTCGTCGCCGTCGTCCGTGGCCCAGGCGCTCGCCGTCGCCGAGGGCGGCGGCGACGACCGCGCCAAGGCGGCGCTCGCGTCGCTCGCGGAGATCGAGGCCGAGCGGTCGCGCCAGGCGGCCAAATCGCACGGCGCGGCGACGCCGGACCTCGTGCGGACGGCGACGAACGTCTGCAAGGTCGGCAAGGTGCACCTCGACACGGGCGGCGCGTCGCAGATGTCCGACGACGAGAAGAAGAAGCTCGCGGCGCTCGTCGGCAACGGCAAGACGCAGAACGTGCGCCTCTTCCACGGCCTCGCGAACCAGACGGTGGAGATCACCGAGGCGGTGCTCGGCGAGCGCGCGGCGTCGCTCGCGGTCGTGCTCGCGGGCTGCAAGGGCTGCGCCTTCGTCCTCGACTGCTACTGCGCCAAGGTCTTCTGCCGGGGCCTCGAGGACTGCGCCGTGACGCTCGCGCCGCCGTCGAAGGTCATCACGGCGACGCTCGAGGTCGAGCGCTGCGCGCGGACCAAACTGAGGATAGGCAGCATGCTGGGCACGCTGCAGGTCGAGCAGTGCGCGGGCATCATCGCCGACTTCGAGGCGCGGCACTGCTTCGGCAACGGCTCCCTCGAGCGCAAGGGCCGCGAGTTCGGCAACGACGGCATGGTCGTCTGGGCCGGCTGCGACGACCTCCGCGTGCGCATCGGCGACGCGGACCTGGGCGACCACGTCTGCTTCTGCGACTTCGGCGTCGCGGCGACGGCGGACCCGACGCTGTCCCGCGAGCGGTCCCAGTTCAAGGTGTCCTTCGCGGCCGGGAAGCTCGTCTCCGAGAAGGTCACGCGGCTCAAGAACGGCTTCCCGGCGACGGCGCGCGAGGAGGCCGAGTTCGACCGCCGCGAGGAGCAGCAGCTCAGCGGCCTCGCCGAGCGCATGGGCATCACGATCCACCGGAAGCAGGACAAGATCGGCGCGCGCGTCAAGCCCAACGCGCCGTGCCCCTGCGGCAGCGGCGCGAAGTACAAGAAGTGCTGCGCGGCGGCGGCCTAGGCCCGCTAACGCTCCAGAAACGAGGATTTAGATGAACATGCCCGCCGGCGGCGGGTCGGCGGCGCGACGCGCGTGCGGGTCTTCCTCCGGCACCGGTGGCTCCGGCGCCGCCGGTGGCTCCGGCGCTGGGGGCTCCGGCGCCGCCGGTGGCTCCGGCGCTGGGGGCTCCGGCGCCGCCGGTGGCTCCGCCGGCTCCGGCGCCGGCGGCGGCTCGTTCGCCGGCGGCTCCGCCGGTGGCGCCTTGCCAGCCGCGTCGGGCCGCTTGCAGGGCTCGCGGCAGATGGGGCAGCGCAGGGGCGTGAGCGTGGAGTGGGCGTGCTGGAGGCAGACCTGGAGGCAGCTCCGGTGCAGGAGGTGCGCGCAGCGCGGGAGCCGCACGGGCGTCTGCCTGCGTGGGAAACGACCAGTGGAATGGACCGGTCCAGCGACACTTCTCTCGCTCGGTCAAATCGACGTCGATTCGGCTGATTTTTTTTGGACGGATCGTTTTCTCTCGGCGAGTGCTCGAGCACAGCAAAGCATCGTGCGTCGAAACTGTCGACTCATTTCACGTTGAAGTCGCGTTGCGTCCCGCGCGGGCGCCCGCGCGTCGAGCGTCCGCGCGCCGTTTTCGTCGCGCGCGGCGACCGCGAAGCCGTCGTGGCAGATGACGCAGATGTCGTCGTAGGCGCGCACGGCGTCGTCGTCCGCCGGCGCGAAGAGCGACCGCGCGTCGAGGTCGCGGCGCGCGGCGGCCCACTCGCGGTGGTAGGCCAATCGCGCGCGCAGCCGCGCGTGCGCCTGCTGCGCGTACACAGAGAAGAGCATGGACCCCGCGGACAACTCCAAGGAGCCGGACACGAGCTCGAGGGCGTACCAGGCCAAAATGAACGCCATCTCGGCGACGTCCGCGCAGAACTCGACGCCGTACGACGCGACGCGGAAGCGTTGGTCGTCCGCGTCTCTGAGCCGCGCCGCGCGGCGCCGCGCGGCGGCGAAGCGGCGCTTCAAGACCTCACCGTCCGCGGTCCCGAAGGCGTCGTCGACGTGGTAGCGCGCCAGCATGCCGAAGAGCCGGCCCTCGCCGCCGAGGGCCAGGCTCGCGCCGTGGTGCAGCAGCGCCTGCGTCGTCCGTTTCGCGGTCCGCAGCGCGAGCGCCACGGCCTGGAGCGCCGCCGTCGCGCCGCCGTGGGCGTAGGCCAGCCGTACGATCCACGCCGTCGACGCCAGGGCCACGGCCTCGAGCACGACGAGCAGCCCGAGGAGCCGCGCGTGGCCGGCCGCGCGGCGAGAGGCCGCGGCGTAGCCGACGCCGGGCGCCGCGGCGTCCGCGTAGCGCGCGAGCCGCGCGCGCGCGACGCGGCTCAGGAGCGCGACGGACGCCGACGCGCAGGCGACGACTAACGCGAGGACCACGGCCTCGGGCGCCGCGGCCGCCGCGCGGCTGCCGAGCGCGTCGTGGCCGCGGATCGGCGCGCCCGTCGCGAAGCTCGTCTCGCACGCGGCGACGGCGCAGAGCGCGAGGCCGCCGAGCGCCTCCTCGACGGCCAGCTTCCGCAGCAGCGCGGCTTCGTCGTCGTCCAGCTCGCCGAGGCCCCAGGCGACGGCCTTCCAGAACGTCGCGAAGAGGCACCGCCGGCACGCCTCCAGCGCCAGGACCGCGGCGACCGTCGGGCGCGCGACGTTGCCCAGCGTCGTCTTCAGGAACGCCTTTGGCCCGCGCGCCGCGTAGTCCGCGCGCAGCAGGAGCACGCACAACGCCAAACCCGGCGTCGCCCAGCCGGACCCGTCCGTGAGCGCGGCGCGCCCCCGCGCGGCGACCGCGGCCGCGACGCCGTCGAGCGACGCGCGCCGCGCGCGCAGCGACGGCGGGAAGTCGTCCTCGACGGCGTCGTCGCCGTCGTCGTCCACGGCCGCCGCCGGCGCCTCGAGCCAGCCGTCCGCGCGGATCCGGGGCGCGGGCGGCGCGCCGAGGCGGTCGCGCGCGTCGAAGAGGTTGTCGCGCGCGAAGAGGTTCGCCCGCGGGTCCTCGGCGCCCAAATTCGCGTCGGCGACGAGCCTTCTCACGCCGTGGGCGAGCAGGCCGCCCACGGCGAGCAGGAGCGCGACGGCGAGGGCGACGGCCACGTAGACGTCGTCGTCACCCGACGCCGCCGCCATGCGGGCGCCGCGCTCGGCCCACGGTCCGCCGCCGAGCTTGCGCGCGAGCACGCGCCGCAGGAGCGCCTCGCCGCCGTCGGCGCCGAGCGTGCCCTTGAGCAGGGAATCGACGACGTCGGGCACGGCCTCGCCCTCGAGCCAGCGCGTCGCGCGGTCGCAGGGGCCCCCGGCGTCGGCCGCGAGGAAGAAGGGCGCGCGCGACGGCCACGGCTCCGCCGCGTCGCCGTCGCCGCCGCGGTCGATGATGCCCCAGGCCGCGCGCTTCGGCGGCGGGATCGACGCGTTCGTCGCCGCCACGGTCCGCAGGTAGTCGACGTCGTCGCCGTGCGTCGCCGGGTCCTTGAGGTCGCTGAGGAACCAGTAGTACGACCCCGGCGCCGCGTCGTCGAAGCCGAAGCGCGACACGAAGAGGTGGTCCTTCCGGAAGGACGCGCCGTCGAAGACCAGGCCCTCCTGGCGCGCGTACCAGCCGTCGATCTGCGCGCTGCCGCTGGCGAAGACGCAGACGCCCGCGGCCGTCTCGTGCGCCTCCTTGGGCCGGAGCGCGTGGAAGACGGACCCGCCGATGGCCTCGACGAGCCCGCCGTCCTCGCCGATGGCCTCGACGAGCGCGGCGACGGCGGGCTCCGCCGCGGGCGACGCGAGCGACGCGAGCAGCGACTGCTCGCTCTCGTCGAGCGACGCGAGCAGCGACGCCTCGGAGCCGTCGAGGTCGAGCGCGCGGAGGAGCCCGCCGTCGTCCTGCCCGAGGTCGAGCACGTAGTAGCTCGTCGTCGACCCGGGCGCCGTCGCCGTCGTCACCTTCGCGCCGTCGGAGGCCTCGGGCTTCTTCCAGCCGTGGTACATGTCCGACGTGTAGAACGCGCGCGCGCCGAGCGGCAGCGCACCGAGCCACCACAGGTTCTGGCAGAACATTTTCATCCGGATGCCAAGGCGCGAGCGCGTGGGTTTCGCGCCTCGCGCCGGTTTACGCGGCGTCGAGGCGCGCGCAGCTCGCGCTGGGAACCCCGCGCGGGCGCACCGGCGGCGGGTGCCGCGCGGCAGACCAGCGTGTTGCCGACGCAGCTCTCGGCTGCCGATGAGAGCTTGTGCACCTTAAAGATGCGGCGTTCAAGTTGAAGAAGTGCGGCCGCACTGATGGGCAGCCTTTGCAACCTGCAAAACGCGCTCGTTTGAGCAAAGACTCGTCTTTGGTTTGCAAGCAAACAACCCTGAAGCATTGCAGCCTTTGCGACCTGCAAAACGCGCGCTGAAGAGCCATCGCAGGCACCGGCCTTGCATGCGCCCGCCCGCGTGGTGCCCGGCGGCACCGCTGGTCACGAATCGGTCGCGGTCGCGGCCCTTCTTCCTCGTCGCGGCGCTGCACGTGCGCCTCTACGACTCGGACCCGGCGAAACTCACCGTGGACGACCTCCTGCACTGGCTCGCGTGGCACCGCTACGCCGGCGTGGAAAAGGTCTTCGTCTACGACGCGCACCTCCGCGAGAGCGAGCGCTTTGACGGGGACCCGCGGATCCGGGCCGCCGCGCGCGCGGGCTTCCTCGAGTACGTCGACTGGGGCGCCGTCGCGCGGCGCAACGTCCGCGCCGACGGTTCCCTGGCGGGCAAGCACGTCGCCGCCGTGCAGCTGCCCGCCGCGCGCGACGCGCACCGCCGCGCCGTCGACGTCGCGAAGTGGATGCTCCTGGTCGACGTCGACGAGTACGCGTCCGTCGACGCGGACGAGCCGCCCCGCGGCTTCCTGGGCGCGCGCGTCCGCGCGGAGAGCCGGCGCGCGGAGCGCGGGCGGCCCGTGCGCGTGTCGCAGCTCGTGCTGCCCACGGTCATCTTCGAGGGCCCGCGCGACGGACGCCGCGGGCCCATGCTCGCGCGGCAGGTTGTTCGGCGGCGCGACGCCGCGCACAACCGGAGCGCGACGAAGGCAATCGTGCGCCTCGACGCCGTCGCCGAGTACAACGTACACACGTCGTCGATGGCCTTCGGGAGGACTGTCGCCGTGGCGCGGTCGTCTCTGTTCGTCCGCCACTACCACGCGGGACGATCCGTGGGGTACCGCTCGTGGCCCGAGCTCCGCCGGGACCCGGTGGCGCTCGGCGAGCTCCTCGGTAGGACGGAGCCCGCGGACTGCCGCGCGATCTGCGACGCCGTCCTCGCGTGCGACCGCGCCGCGGCCGACGACGACGCGCCGCCGCTCGCGCTCGGCGCCGCCGCCGTCGCCGCCGCGGCCCTCCTCCTCGCCTGCCGGCGACGGCGCGGGAAACGCAAGGGCGCGCGATGATATCCGTTGGACTCTAGAGTTATTGAAGGGGGTGCGCGCCCGACTGCGTCCGTCCGGGGAGGGGAGGCATGCGCAGGCCCGCATCCGTTGACCGATAAGTGAAGCGACGTTGACCGATAAGTGAAGCGGGCAGCGTGATGTGACCAAACCATGGTGTCGCACGGGACGGCCACCCAGCTGCGCGTCTACTGGGCCGGCTCCGTCTTCTTCTGCAGCATCGGCGCCATTTGCCTCGTCCTCGTCGGCCGGTCCATCGCCTCGCGCACGGAGTCGCCGCTGTCGGCGCAGGGAACGCTCCTGAACACGGTGCTGCCCGTGCTCCTGGGCGACGCCCTCTTCGTGTTCTCGCGCGGCCCGGCGCCCGGAAAACCGTCGTCGCGGACGCGACGCCGCAGGTACCTGCCCTACCACGTCTTCAACCTGTACACGGACGGCGGCGGCAACGAGCGCGGCGCCGTCTGCGCCGCGTCGGGCTTCCTGGGCATCCTCGCCTCGACCCTGGGCCTCTGCGGCGCGGCGGCCATGGCCTACGCGCCCTGGCGCGCGATCCGCGACGCGGCGGCCTGCCGGCGGTCCCGCGGGGCCCCGCGGGGCAGACTCCTGGCCGCGTGCGCGCTGATGGTGCTCTGGAGCTGCGGCTGCGCGACGGCGCCGCTGCTCCGGGACAACGTGGGCACGAACCGGGGCTTCTACTGCGCCGTCGAGCGCTGGGCAGCGTCCTGCGGCGGCGACGAGTTTCGAGAGCTTTGCACCGGGGAAACATCGTCACCGTCGTGCTCGGTAGGCACTGGGGCGACCCCGTCTCCGCGCTGCCGTCGCTCATCACCTGGAGCGGCGCCGCGGGCCTGACGGCGTGGTTCCACTACGACACGCGGCGAAAGATCGGCGACCACGGCACGGAGGCCGAGAGCCCGCGCCGGGCCGTGCGCGACGCGAGCCGCCTCGGCCTCGGCATCTTTCTGGGCATCCTGGCCTTTTGGGGGCCGATCATCGCGACGATCGTCTGCCACCTGTTGGGGGTGAGGACGCCCGTCGGCCTCGAGTTCGCCGCGGGTCTGGTCGCCAAGATGAAGCCGCCCTTCGACGCCTACCTGCTCATGCGCCTCAAGGCGCTGCGCGACAGCTTCTTCGTCCGGGCCCTCGTCGCGCGGCTCCGCCGCATCTCGCGGACGCTCGGCGCCGCGGCGCCGCGGCTGGGCAAGCTCATGCCGAGGCGGCCGAGCGACCGGCGGCGGGCGTCCGCGACGAAGGCCGACTGCGAGGCCGCCGTCGAGCTGCCGGAGTCGTCGCTCTGCGACTACGCGGGGGCCCTCGAGCCCGCCGAGGGCGTCGAGGCCTGGGGCGGCGACGAGCGCAAGGTCGAGGCCGAGGGCGTCGAGGCCTGGGACGGCGACGAGCGCAAGGTCGAGGCCGAGGGCGGCGAGGCCTGGGACGGCGACGAGCGCAAGGTCGAGGCGCTCCGCGACGACGGCCCGAGGGTCGCGCCCGTCGCCTGGGACGACGGCGGCGACCACCCCGAGGAGCACGGCGTCGGCCACGTGCTCGAGCACCGCACGTCGTCGCGGCGGTCCATGCTCCTCGCCGGGAGCGCGCCGTCGGCCATATCCCCGCGGAACGTCTTCGCCTCCGTCGGCGACGGCGCCGACTCCGACGACGACGACGGCGGCCCCGCGCCCGCCTACGCGTCGCCCCGGCGCGCGGAACCCACTTAGCGACCTGGATCGTCGACCACGTATGCCGCCGCCGCGGCGAGCGGGGGCGGCGCGTCGGCGCTCTCGCCGCCGCAGGGCATCGCCACGGGCAGCGCCTCGGCGACGACGGGCGCGACGTGCGCGAAGCGCGGGCCGGTCCAGGCCGCCGTGTGCGCGACCGCGACGGCCACGGGCGCGAGGAGCACGAGCGTCGCGCGCGCCATCGCGCCCGCGAGCTCGCGCGGCGACTCCCCCGGGGCGCAGTCGTCGTCGTCGTCGTCCTGGCGCGCGTCGTCGACGAAGCGGTGGTCGACGCAGGCCTCCTTGGATTCGAAGGCCGCGCAGGCGCGGTCCGCGCCGCCGCCGGTCTCCGTGCAGTCGTCGTGGACCCAGTAGTAGAGCGACGCCTCCGACAGGTCGACGTCCTCGTCGGCGCTCTCGAGGCGCCGGTCGCCGTGCTGGCTCCGCGACGGGCCGTGGCAGCGCAGGTAGGCGTCGACGCGGCGGCCGCAGAGCTCGGACGTCGCGTGCACGGCGTCGCAGCGCACGCGCAGCGCGCAACTGTGGAGCGCCATCGCGTCCGCGGACGCGTTCACCGCCGCGATCGCCATCAGCGCCGTGATCGCGAAGACGGCGTTCGCGACGCGCGCCTGGACGCGGCGCGCCTCGCGCTCCGGCCGGCAGACGCCCTGGGCGACGACGACGACGTGCGCCAGCGAGGCGATGAGGCAGGCGAGGAGCATGAAGTTCCAGACGGGGCCGAGCCAGTAGCCCACGGAGATCAGCACGATGATGCCCACGAAGCTAAAGCAGCCGACGATCAAGTTGAACAGCGCGAGGTAGACGGGGCTGCCGCCGTGGCGCGCCGGCTGCGCGCGGGCCATTGCGATGGGCTGCTAGCCCACAGCAGCCCGAGGAATGGCCATTCCCATGCGCTTTGCACCTGGGAGTCAACGAGTTTGAGGTGAAGGGATCGAAACTCGATTACCCCGCATCAGAAATCGACGCAAGGCGTGATGTCGGCGCAGGTTGCGACGACCGGCGGCCCGCAGATCGGCGCGAACCCGGAGCTGGGCATCTACGTGAACCAGGATGGCGTGGCCAAGTACCCCGGCTGCCACCCGACGCCCGGCATGCTCCACCAGACCACCGGGAGCGAGTGGCTCATGGAGAAGCTCAAGCCCGTGACGAGTGGCGAGCTCAAGATCAGCGTCCACTTCCCCAGCGGCCAGATCTCGACCTACAAGGTCAACTCGTCCGACACCATCGGGTCCCTCAAGGCGAAGCTGGGCTCGACGTCCATCCTCGACGGCCTCGAGGAGACGCCCAAGGCGAAGACGCTCGACCTCATGTACATGGGCGCGGTCCTGGGCGACGACGACACCTTCGAGGGCAAGCTCGTCGCGGACCGGAGCGTGCTCACGCAGCTGCCCATGAAGCGCGAGTCCGCGGCCGACGTCGCCAAGTTCGTCGAGAAGCAGATCGCCGACGTCAAGGCGCTGCACACGGTCCAGTTCCCGACGCACACGGCCAACCTCTACGAGCGCATCAAGCACAACCCGGCGCGGGGCCTGGACCTCGACTACGAGATCCCGTCCTGGCACTACGACTACCGCCCCTACAACCAGTACGTGCCGCCCGTCGACGGCGAGGCGCAGATCCAGGCGCCCGACTACGAGCGCGACGGTGACCAGGCCTGGCGCCGCGACTACTACATCAACGGCCCGGGCAACCAGGCCGAGGTCAACAACGAGTACGCCATCCTCAACGCGCCGGAGGAGACGGAGTGAGGCGCCGGCCGGTCTGCGAGCGTCGCCGCGCCTCTTCCCCCGCAACGGCGTAAATATTACTACACCATGAGGTAGTGGTGGAAGAGGTGCAGGTAGGGCCAGCCGCCGACCTGCGACGGGGGGGGCGGGGTCGCCGCCGCGCGCGGCCGCCGGGCGCCGGCGCCGCGCGTGCCGGTCGCAGGTCGCCTTCGTCCACGGCGCGTCCAGATCGAACGCGGCCTCGGCCGGCGCCACGGCCTCGAACTCGACGAAGTCGTAGGTCATGAGCGGCACGTAGGCGCCGTCGACGAGCGCCTCGTTCGTCTGCGGCGGGCGCGCGTGGGCGCGCGAAACCAACGGGACCGGACGCGGCCGGGCCGACGAGCCTCCGCGGCCAGCGCGTGTCGGCGCGCACGTAGACGTGCGTGCGCTCGGCGCCCGGGATGTCGACGAGCCAGCGCTCGTGGCGCGACCCGTCGATGTCGACGTCCGCCTCCGCGAGCGCCGCCGTCGACGGGTACGCCGGCATCGGCATGGCCTCGCCGAGGTAGGACCGCTTGCAGTCCGGGTAGGGCTCGCCGCGCACGGCGTACTCCTGCGCCGCGTCGTAGCGCCGCGTGAAGTTCTTGCCCGCGTCGAGGCCGAGGAGCACGGCGGCGCGGGCGCGCTTGTTTACGTAGTCGTAGTCGAGCTGCACGCGGCGCAGCCAGGGCGGGTAGTCCTGCGCTCGGTCCACGAGGTGCGCCGTCGTCTCGACGACGGCGCGGAACTGCAGCGGGAACTCGGGCGCGGCGCGGGCTAGAGTTGCGAGCAGCAAGCAGAGCCTTGGTACCATAGTGCGAGGGCTGCCCCGTGGCTCGACCGTTGGGAGTTCCGTTGGGCGACCCGGCGCACTTCGCGCGCACGAATCGCACCACGGAGAGCACGGCACTGTTGGCACGCGGCCAACTTTTACCCTAGAGCTCGCAGTTGCCCTCGCTGCGGACCGGGTTCTCGACGTCGCCCGCGCCCGCGGACCGGGCGCGGGACGCGCGCGGCGCGCGCGGGAGCCGCGGGCGGCCCGGGGCCGTGCTCGCGCGGCCCCGCGAGGGCCGCGCCGCGAGGGACGACTCGCGCCACGTGTCGACGAAGAGGAACTCGGAGAGGCGCGCGAGCGCGGACCGGCGCTTGCCCGGCGTCGACTCGGACGGCTTCGGCGCGAGCTCGGACCAGTCGAGCCGGAGGACGCCCTCGAGGACGCAGCCGAGGTCCGACGACCCTCGCGTGAGCCGGACCTCGAAGGGCCCCGGCACCAGGGGCACCAATGCGTAGGCGGCGCCGTCGGCCTCGGAGCCCGCGGACGTCTCCGCGTCCGCCGTCTCCAAGCGCAAGAGGCAGTGGCGCGCGAGGCACCGGCGGACGTCGTCGGCCGTGACGGCGACGCCCCGGTCGGCCCAGGGCGCGCGCGCGACGTCGATGGCGGGCGCCCCCGCGGCGTCCAACGCCTCCGCGAGGCCCGCGAGGTGGCGGTCGGCCACGTCCGGGTCCTCCCAGGGCAGCGGGAAGACCATGGACGCGCGCGCGAGCCGGGAGACGTCCAGCTCCAGGTCGGGCGCCGCCGCGTGGCGGCCCGGGTCGATCTGCGCGGCGCCCAGCGGCGCCGGGCGCACGTGGAGGTGGGACGCGGCGACGCGGCACCGCTCGG